TATAATCCAGGCAAAAGATGACCATGAACTATACCAAGACCATGGCTAAAAACATCCAGAAGGAATAGAAAAAAAAAAAAAGACTCAAAAAAGAAATAAGTAATAAAAATCTTCTGGTACTTAAATTTATACTCTTAAAAAACTAGTTGTTTTGAGAAAGAAGTTACTTGTGTCAATGATAAATTCTCATCAAGCAATAAATGAAGTTGTTGGGAAAAAAATGCAGTGCTCTCAAGACAATGCTGTGGCTGTGGTATTTGTCCTTCAGTGTTATAGTTTATTACAGATAATCTCTAATTTCTTAGATTTTCATTTTTTCAACCATAACGTTGTGATAGAATTGAGGACTACTTTTTAATGCATTAGAGTTAATAAAACTAAAATTAAAAAGCCTAAAAGTATCTTTAGTAACCCTATTATGAAAGCTTAAAAGAGTTTATTAAATTTCACGATAAGAAATATACTGATGAAAACATTAAAAACTGGTCTCAAGCTCAATGACATTCCATCTAAATCTATCATTAGTAGACATTTACATCACCCTTTACCACTAAAAATACCTATGTACACTTCTGCTTCTGTCAAAATAAAGTAGATGCATTTCATACACCTATTCCTCATGCTAAGTACAACTAAAATCCCTGGACACTGTATGTAACATTAGCATAAGAAGCTTCTGAAAGGTGGAGAGAAGGCAGACTGGCTGGAGACCTTAGGATCCTAGGAACGACTTGGTAATGAGTTCCCTGGGTTTTCATTTTGCCTCATATATCCCAGACTAGATATGGGGAAGACAGCAAGCTGGAAATGCCAATAGGTGCAGACAAAAACAAAACAAAACAAAACAAAAAACTCCAAGAAAAGCCTGTTTTCTAGCCAAAGGACCAGGAAAAAGGCAGACTATGCAAGACTGAAAACTTTTAGGTAGTAACTACTCAAGTCAAACACCACAGAAAAAACTATGGCCCCACACCACCCACACTAGCAAAGCCTACACTTTCACCTTTGCTGGGCTATTAAAAGGTGCCCTGGTCCTCCTGCTGGGGTGGTGTCAGAGAAGGCTGACTGGGGAGCCAGGACTTTTCATTCCCTCCGGAAAGTAACAAACCACATCCTCTGGTGTGAGTGGAGCCCATCTGGGAAGGCTGGACTTCTACTCCCATCTAGTGGTAACAAGGCATTCTTCCCCCTCCTCACTGGGAGAATGTCAGAGGAGGCCTAGTGGAGGGTCAGGGCTTTTACCACCGCTCAGTAGTAGCAAGGCCACATCTACACGGGAGCAGTAAAGAGGTGCTCCTGCCCTTTCCCAGCCACGGGCTTATCAACAGAAGCCTAGTGGGCAGCCAGAACTCCCACTTTTGACTAGCAGTAACAAGAAGCCCTTCTTCCCTCCATGAGTGTCCATGGAGACTCTGAACTTCCAGTACTACCTGGAAGCAACAATGACCCAGAGTCTTAAAACATAGTACCCAACATGTCCAGATCTCAATAGAAAATCTCTCCTCAAAGCAAGAACCAGGAAGACCTCAAAGTGAGTAAGAAATAACAATCAACATGTGCCAACACCAAGAAAATGCAGAAGTTAGCATCATCTGACAAGCATTTTAAAGCCGATCATCATAAAAATGCTTCAATGAGTAATTATGAATTGCCTGAAACAAATGAATATTATAAGAAGTCTCAGCAAAAGAACCAAATGGAAAAAACACAGTAACTGAAATAAAAAATTTCATGGGATGGTTCAATAGCAGAATGGAGGGGATAAAGGAAAGAATCAGTGAATGGAAGATAGAACTCTAAGGATTACTCAATCTGAAAAACTGAGAGACAAAAGACTGAAAAAAAGAAATGAAGAGAGCCTCAGGGACCTGTAGGGCTATATCACAAAAAGACCTATGATTTGTGTCATCAGAGTCCTGGAAGGTTAGGAGAAAAGAGGGCAGAACTGCAAAAGTATTCAAATAAATCAGAGCTGAAAGCTTCTCAAATTTGGCAAAAGACATAAGCCTACAGAATCAAGAAGCTGAGAATTTTCCAGATAGTATAAATCCAAAGAAATTAGTTCCAAAACATATAACAGTAAAACTTCTGAAAACTAAAGACAGGAAAGCTTGAAAGCAGCAAGAAACAAATACCTTATCTGTAGAGAGAAAAACAATTCAAATGACAGTGGGTTATCTGTTAGAAATCAGAGAGACGAGAAAGAAGTGGCACAGCATTCTTCAACTGAAAAGAACTGTCAACCCAGAATTCTATATCCACCAAAATATCTTTCAGAGATGAAAGGGAAATGAAGACATTCTCAGATGAAAAAAAAAGAAAAAACCCAGAGACTGCCACCAGCCGACTTCTCCTAAAAGAATGAATTTAGAAATTTTCTAAAGAGAAAGGAAATGATAAAAGAGGAAATCTTAGAACATCAGGAAGGAAGGAAGAATATGGTGGAGTAAAAATATGGGTAAATACAATAGACACATGGAGAGGGCACAGCTAAAGGGTATGGGGTTTCTTTTGAGGTGATGAAAATTTCTAAAATTGACTATGGTAATGGTTACAAATTATCTGTATTCATACTAAAACCCATTGAATTATGCAGTTTAAATGGGTGAATTGTATGGTATGTGAATTATATCTCAATAAAGCTGTTTTCAAAATCAGCATAGTAGTAGCCTGAGGAAAAGGGACAAGAGAACTTTCTGGGCATGACGCAAAAGTTTTATATCTTGATCTAGGTCATGGTAACCCAGGTGTATGTATAAATTGCCAAAATTAATCAAGCTAAACCCTTATAAATAGTGTACCTACTCTTATGACAATTATACCTTAATAAAAATTACTAAGAATCTCAAATTTCTCTCCAAAATGCTTTAACCAATTTATACTCATACCAATAGTATTTTAGAATTCAGGTGGTCCACATCTTACAAATTGTAATATTGATAACTGACAGGCTAAATATGGGGCCTTATTGTGGTTTGAATTATCAACCCCTTATTGTTAGCGAGGTTGTTCATCATTTCCATTGGGTTTTTCTTTTTGATATTCATGTTTTGAAAGGTAAGACTTTTCATACCATTTTACCAATGTTCTATTTGAAACTTGTTTGAAATTTTCTTATCTCTTAGTCACTTATGTATGTTACAAATACCCTCTCTCAAAATGAGTCTTGTCTTCTTTATTGTTATGCTGCATCTCAATAATCTAGAAATTTATGATATAGTCAAAAGTAACATTTAATCATGTAGTTTGCATATATGTCTGTGTGTCTTTTATTTATTTATTATTTTTTTTGTGTGTGTGGTACGCGGGCTTCTCACTGCTGTGGTCTCTCCCGTTGCGGAGCACAGGCTCCGGACGCGCAGGCCCAGCGGCCATGGCTCACGGACGGGCCCAGCCGCTCCGCGGCATGTGGGATCTTCCCGGACCGGGGCACAAACGCACGAACCCACGTCCCCTGCATCGGCAGGCGGACTCCCAACCGCTGCGCCACCAGGGAAGCCCCTGTGTGTCTTTTAAAATAAATACTTCTGTAACACAAATGGTTAAGTTTGTCTCCTATATTGTCTTCAATCCTCGTGGAAGCATGTGCATGTGTGTGTTAAGAGGTAGGAATCTAATTTTATTTCAAAATTGTCTTTATTTTTTCATATGGCTAACTTATTTTTGTTTGTACCATTTATGATGGATTATTTCTGGATTCTTTTTTTCTGTTTCATTAATCATTTTTTCTATTTCTATGCCACTTATATACTGTCTTACTATTATAGTTTTATAATAAATCTTGATATCCAGAAGGGTAAAAAAAATACCGATTTATTTAGATTGCTAGTAAAATATAAGATAAAATCATGGTGTTTCTTGAAGAGAATGTTTTGTAAAGGTGAGGGTTTTTGTCTTCAAATTCCTCAGGTTTTTTTTATTGTGTCCAATTAGACACAAACAAGTTGAAAATATACATCTTTTTATTTTCCAAAGTAATTTTTAAGGGTGAAAATTATTTTTTTGCCCTTAACAACGTACACTTTTCCATTTTTGTTCTGCCCTCATCTAAACAATAATGACTATAGAGGTCTGCCAGTGGCACCTCAAATTTAGTTTCACTTTTAATTTTACATATCAGTTTGTTGTTTTTAATTGGACAGTTGAAAATTACAAATAGGAAGTCAGAGGAGTTTAGAATACCAATACTTCCATTGTCTTTACTTTACTTTGAAGAGTCTTTAATTTCTGTCTAGGAGTGGTCATATTTTTGACTGGATAGCTTCTACTTTCTTTTTTTTTATGTTTATAGCAACTTTATTCATAATGGCCTAAACCTGGAAGCAAGAAAGATGTCCTCTAGCAGGTGAATGGATAAACAGTGGTACATCTAGAGAATGGAATTATCACTCAGCTCACTATCAAGACATGAAAACACATGGAAGGATTTTTTTTTTTTTTTTTTTGTGGTACGCGGGCCTCTCCCTGCTGTGGCCTCTCCCGTTGCGGAGCACGGGCTCTGGACGCGCAGGCTCAGTGGCCATGGCTCACCGGCATGTGGGATCTTCCCGGACCGGGGCACAAACCCATGTCCCCTGCATTGGCAGGCGGACTCTCAACCACTGCGCCACCAGGGAAGACCCCACATGGAAGCATTTTAAATGCATATTGCTAGGTGAAAGAAGCCAATCTGAAAAGGCCACATACAGTATTAGCCTCTGCTTTCTAGCCATTAACTGGGTACAAAATTGGTGGAATACGACCTGGAAGAATTCTAGGCCAGATTTAAATAAGAGTGAGTACTTGCTTTCTTTGAATGTATTTATATATTTGAATATTTTTGAATGAGGGAGTCTCTATACTTACCTATTAATGGTTTAGACTTATCAACTGCTTTTTGTAGTTCTTTTTTGTTCTCTAGCTATTTTGGGAATTGAGAGTAAACTATGGAAATTATGACTATAGTAAAAGTTTAAAAAATGATCCCATAAAACATTGAAATCCAGATAATTAAGACTTACCTCTATTTCTTTTCTTAATTTTTCATGTGTCTTTTTTTCTTCCTCAAGAAAACAAGTTTTTTCAATGATGGATTCTTTTACAGTTATAATTTTATCCTTTAGGTTTATAATGTCTTCCTGTATGTTTATAGAATTTAAAATATACACATCAAACAATGAATGGTCAATATAAATCCAAGATTTTCAGTGTTTCTATAATTTAAGAAAACTAGCCATCACATTTAATTTTGATAAATAGGATTAGAATATTACTTCTATAGGTACGAGGAACAAAGAATGGTTGTTCAAACAAGCAAACCTTAGATTTGAAAATATAGAAGTAAAAACCAAATGAAAATAAGACATAAAGGAAAGTGGTAGTCACAGGGGCAATTGCCCAGCTACAATATAAAGGATATTTTTAAATTCTTTAGCAAGAAATAATAGCTATTTTAAGTTTTTATCTCCCAACATCTTCAAAGACTATTAAGAAAAAGATGCTTAGGGTACAATTATTAATTCATATTGTTTGTATAATAGCATTAAGCACACTAAATTGATTTTAATTGGTCTGTATCCATTAGCCTGGAAGCTAGAGTTTCAACATCTTTGTGAGTCACACCTTCTGTAACAAATGGATTAATTGTTCACTGTGATTTTGTTTGACTATATATTTTTATTAATCCATAAGGGATTTGGGGATGTTTCCTTCATGCATTTGCACATATGGCATAGTTGTTACATAACTCATGCACTTATACAAGTTTTCAACTTTGTGAATCGAGTTAGAGCACCCATGGGTATTTTATTAAGTTAATGATAAGTTTATCACTTAGTAAGTGTACTTGCAATAAAAGGAATAATAGAAAACATTTTAATAAGTGATATTTCAAACCTGTACTTGTTTCATCAGGTTTCCTTCTGGATTTTGGAGATCCTGCATAAGTTCCTCTTTCATTGTCTTTAGTTTTTTAACAAGGTCTCGTTTCTCATTGAGTTCAGTCATGAATGACCATTTGCTCTCTACCTCTCTCAAACTATCTTTATGTGCTTTTATCTTTGCATAGTATTCATTATATCTTATCATTTGTTCCTCAAAATCTTCTTGTGCTGCCTCTATGTCAAATTTAAGCTTCACATTTTCTGTATGTAAGGATTTGATTTGATTTTCCAGGTTTCCACACTGAAGTTTGGTAGTCTGTATGGCAGCATCTTGCTGATAAATTTGCCTTTCCGTTTCTTTAGTTTCTGCAGAGACAGATGCTATTTGTGTTTTAAGCTCATGAAGTTCATTCTGTAAGATATTTCAACAATATTATTATTAGTTCATGATATTCAACATGAAAGAAAAGTCATTGTTTTGATCCATAGTGTGTGTAGAAAAATCACTTAACATAAAAAATATATATTTATCAGATACAGAAAAATTGATGCATAACCGGAGACATGTAATAAAGTAACAAAATTATTTTATAATCAGAGGGAGCCCAGGGTTATATATTTCTTATTTTTTAATGTTCATCTAATTCTAAATATTAAAATTTTATCCTTTGTCTTAACATTTTATATGTAAAAGATACTTTACAATCATTTTACTAATATATTTGTGGGCAATCAGAAGTACAAACTAAAGAAAAACTATATGATAAAAATGATAAAACCCTGAATTGAAAACACAAAAGATCTAGGTTCTAGTGTCCTTACTACTATTTACTAGTTGGGGTGATCATACATAGCAGACTTAATTACCCTATTCAAACCTCACTGTCTTCACTTGTAAGATGAGTTTAAAGGTATATTTAGCTTTGCCTCTCTGAGGCATTTGGCATTTCTAACCAGCACCTCCTTTTTAAAATCTCCCAGCACTCTTCTCTTCTTCACCTCAGATATCTCTGAGCATTGCTTTTCAATCTCGATGGTTCCTTCAAATACAGGTTTTCCTCAGGATGCAGCCATCATAATTTCCTCCTCTCATTCTGTATATACTCCTTGGGTAATCTTATCCATACTTAGATCTTGAGATACATATATGCTAATGATTCACAGAATGTAAGTGGCTGTTAAGTCCTATACCCAGCTGCCACCGGCCATCTCAAATTCATCGTGTCCAAAAATCAGACTAATCCTCCCCTCCCCGATCCCATCCTGCTCTCCCTTGTATCAGTCACTTATTGTCAGAATCACAAAACCTCCGTGACATATAACTAGTGTTTATTGCTCATGTGATAAGAAGCAACTGGGCTTGGCTAGGTGGTTCTGTTGACTTTGGTTGGATTTCCTCAAATGTCTGGAGGTTGGTTGGCTGTAAGATGATTTAGGTTGGCTTCAACTGGGCCAACTGGGGTGTCTTGGCTTTGCTTCACATGTGTCTTATCCTCCAGGGGGCCAGGACAGGCATGTCCCTCTCATGATGATAGCAGATGCAGAAGAATGGAAGCCCAATTATGGAACAACTTTTTCAAACTTCTGTTTGAATAACATCCCAGCTGGTCACATGATCAAATTTCAGTGGAGGGGTAGAAAGTATGTCCACCCATTATGGGAGGGCATTATAATGATAAATGGCAAAGGGTGTATACACGAGGATGAAGATTTGGGACTAAAAATGCAAATTACCACACCCCTATGTTCCCAAACTTAGTTAATGGTATTCCTTTGGGAGCCATATCTAATTCCTCCCTTCTCTCTTTTTTTTTTTTTTTGCGGTACGCGGGCCTCTCACTGTTGTGTTCTCTCCCGTTGCGGAGCACAGGCTCCGGACGCACAGGCTCAGTGGCCATGGCTCACGGGCCCAGCCGCTCCGCAGCATGTGGGATCCTCCCAGACTAGGGCACGAACTCGTGTCCCCTGCATCAGCAGGCGGACTCTCACCACTGTGCCACCAGGGAAGCCCCTCTCTTCTCTTTATATTTAACTATTCATCAAATTCTGTAGATCCTCCCACCAATAAAACTGTAGGCCTTTATCCTTTTTCTTCTATCCAGTATGGTCATCCTCTTTAAATGAATCTATAATTTGGGGAGGGAAGCACTTCACTAGAAAGGCAGACCCAGCCTATCCTTTTCTTGGCAGAGACAAGAGAGGGAAGTACACTGAAAAATACAGCGTGCTGATGAACTTCAACCTTTATCTCCAGCTCTAATATTTAAAATGCCCACTTGACAGTTCTATTTGGATATGTAATAGATGTCTCAACTACACAGGTTCAGGAAAGAACTTTTAATTTGCACACCCAACATGTTCCTCTTCCAGCTTTCCTGATTTCAATAAACTGTACCACTTTCCACCTGGACACTTAAAAACCTAGTAGTCATTCTTGATTCTTCCCTTTACCTTAACCCCCACAACCTATTTACCAACAAATCTTGATGGTTGGGCCTCCAAAATATATAAAATCCCAGCTCACTTCTGACCAGTCTTTGTAGCACAGTCCAGCTTCCAACTGGTCTCCCGTTTCCATGCTTCCTCCTCTCCCCCAACTAGACTCCATTTTTCAGGCAGAAGAATCCTTTAAAAACACAAATCATATCATGCTACTTCTCTGCTCAAGATCCTCCAGTGGTTTTCCATTGCACTAATAATAAAATTCAAATTCTGTAATATGGCTTTTAAGGCCATACATGCTCTAATCCCTATCCACTTTGCCATCCCTCTCGTGTACTACTCTCCCCACTTCCAGCTTCCTTTTGTTTATGAAATACACCTAGTTCCTTCTCTCCTAAGGGCATTTGTAATTAATTGTTCCCTGCACCTTAGAATTCTCTATCCCTAGCTATTACCTGCTGGGGTCTTTGTCTTTCACAATTCAGCTTTATTACTACTCCTCAGAACAGTCTTCCCTGAATCAAAATATAAATTAACTATCCACCTTCCTCCCCCATTATTCTCTACACATCATCCTATTGTATTTCCTTTGTAACACCTCAATCAATGGAATTACTTTATATCTTTATTGCTTGCCTGCCCTAACTAGAAAGTAAACTCCATGGGTGCAGTAAACTTGTCTAACTTCTTTAGCACCATCTTCCCTGTAGTTAAAGTAGTACCTGGCACAAAGTAGGTGCTCTATAAATATTTAATAAATGAGTGAATGAGTGATGTACATGGAATGGTCAGGAAAGGGACACATGACCTGTCAACTAGATCAGGCTGTTGCCCTATTGATCAATATGGGGAGATGGCATTTACACTAATTTGGTCATCGTCTCTTCTCTTTCTTAGACTAACATAACTAATAGACTGTTGACTTTTCTCCCTGGCTTTATTCAATTCCTCCTCTGATCCACTTCTACTCTTTCACTAGAATTTTATGTCTTCTTGTTGTTGCGTCTCCCCCTCCTCCTGCTTCTCTTCCTCTTCCTCCTCCTCCCTCTCCTTCCTTCTTTCCTTCCTCTTTCTCATCTCCCTCCCCCCTTCTCCTTCCCTTCTTTGTTAATAGATTTATTGAAATATAATTGATGTAAATAAACTGCACATATTTAAACTTTACAATTTAATAAGTTTTGACTTAATTTTATGATCATGAGACTGTCACAATTAAGACAGTGAACTTATCCATTACCCACATGTCCAAATATCAGACATGTCCAAAAAAGTTTCCTCCTGATCCCTTGTGATCTATCCTTCCCTCCTCAGCTCTCTGTTTCCAGGCAAACATTCATCTGCTCTGTCACCAGATCATTTGCGTTTGCGTTGCGTTTGCGTTTGCGTTGCGTTTGCGTTCACCAGTTTGCGTTTTCAAGAATTTTATATGAAAAGAATCATACAATATATACAATTTTAGTCTCACTCCTTTCACTCAGCCTAATTAGAGACTCATCCATGTTGTTAGACATATCAGTAGCTCTTTCTTTTTATTGCTGAGCAATATTTCTTGTACGAATATACCACACTTTGTTTACTCATTCATCTGGTAGACATCTGTGTTGTTCCTGGTTTTCCAGTGGGCATACACTTTTATTTCTCTTGGGTAAATGAATAGCTAGAAATTGAATGTATGGGTTATATGGTAGACATATTTTAAACTTTTAACAAACTGTAAACTATTTTCTCAAATGGTACATCACTTACATTCCAAAATAATTGGGTCTGAGAATTCCAGTTCTTTTATATCTGCACCAGCACTTGGTATGGTCAGTCGTTTTAAATTTACCCATTCTAGTGGGTATAGAATGAAATCTCATTATGATTTCAATTTGCATTTCTTTAATAATTGATGATACTGAGTATCTTTTCATGTGCTTGTCTTTTGCAATATCTTTTTGCATGAAATGACCATTGAAATCTTTTGCCCATTTTTAAACTGGGTTGTTTGCCTTCCTGAATTGTAAGAGTTCTTTATATAGTATAAATAAATTCAAGTACATTGTCAGGTATGTTTTCAAGTATTTTCTCCCAGTCTATGACAACCCAAATGCCCATAGGGCCCCAGCAGGTATACCTCACATTCATTTTCATAACAGTGCCTTTTGAACAGAAATAAAAACGTTTTTTAATGAAGTCCAATTTTTAAAATTTTTGTGTACTATTTAAGAAACCTTTGCCAGACCCAGCATCACTAAGTTTTTCTCCTATATTTTTTTCTAGATACTTTGTACTTTCAATTCTTGTACTTAGGCCTATGATCCATTTTTAGTTAATTTTCATATACAGTATGAGGTGGAAATTGAAGTTCACTTTTAGCATGTAGCTGTCCTCCACCACTTGTTGAAAGATTATCATTTCTCTAATGAAGTGCCTTGGCACCCGTCTTAATCAGCTCGGGCTTCTATAAAAAAAAAAAAAAAAACAACGGAAAAACACCATAGACTGGGTGGCATAAACAACCGACTTGATTTCTTACAACTCTGGAGGCTAGAAAGTCCAAGATCGAGGTGCAGCAGATTTGGTTACTGGTGAGAGGCCTATTCCTGGCTTGCAGACAAACACCTTTTTGCTGTGTCCTCATATGGCAGAGAGAGAGGGAGGGAGAGGGAGGGGGGGGGGGAGGGGGAGAGGGAGAAGGAGAAGGAGAGAGAAAAGCTCTGGGATCTCTTTTTCTTCCTATAATCCCATCATAGGGCCCCCACCCTCACAACCTCATCTAAACCTATGTACCTCCTAAAAGCCTCACCTCCAAATACCATCACATTGGAAGGAACACAAACATTCTGTCCATGAGAGCACCTCTGAAATCAATTGTTATGTGTGGGGCTATTTCTGGATACTACTCTGTTCTGTTCCATGGATCTATATGTCTGTCTCTATGCCATGTTACACTGTCCTGATTACTGTACTCTATAATAAATCTCAAAGTCAGGTAATATTATGGGAGTTCCCTGGTGGCCTAGTGGTTAGGATTCTGGGCTCTCACTACCAAGGGCCCGGGTTCAATCCCTCGTTGGGGAACTGAGATCCTGCAAGCTGTGTGGCGCGGCCAAAAAAAAAAAACAAAAACAAAGTAATAGTAGTACTTCCAACATTGTTCTTCACAGTTGTTTTGGCTACTATAGGTTCTTTGCATTTCCATAGGACTTTTAGAATCAGCCTGTCAATTTCTCTAAAAAATGCCTGCTGGGATTTTGATTGGAGCTGCTTTTAAACAATAGATAAAATAGAAAGAACTCACATGTTAACAATACTGAATATTATGATTCATGAAAATGGTGTATCTCTCTATTTTGGTCCTTAATTTCTCTCAGCAGTGTTTCATAGTTTTCAGTATACAGGTCTTACATATTGTCTTAGTTTGCTGGCGCTGCCATAACAAAATACCATAGACTTAGTGGCTAAGACAACAGAAATTTATTTCTCACAGTTCTGTAGGCTGGAAAGGGTGTCAGCATAGTCAGGTTCTGGTGAGAACTCTTCCTGGCTTGTAGAGGGCCACCTTCTCACTGTGTCCTCACATGGCAGAAAGAAAGCTCTCTGGAGTCTCTTTTTATAAGGGCACTAATCCTACCACCAGGACCCCATTCTCATGACCTCATCTAAGCCTAATTACCTCCCAAAGACCTCACCTCCAAATACAATCACATTGGTGATTAAGGCTTCAACATATGAATTTTGGGGAGATACAAACATTCAGTCTATAACACAAAAACTTTCATCAAATTTACCCCTAAGTATTTCATAGTTTTGATGTTACTGTAAATGATAATGCTTTAAAAATTTTAAGTTCTGATAGTTTCTTTCAATATATGTAAATACAACTGATATTTATAATTAATCTTATCTTGCAACCTTTCTAAACTCCCTTATTAGTCCTAATAGCTTTTTAAAATAATAGATTCCTTAGGATTTTCCAGAAATAATCATGCTATCTGTGAATAAAAACAGTTTTACTCCCTCCTTTCCAATCTGGATGCCTTTTATTTCTTTTTCTTGCTAGGAGTGGCTTGAATTATCAGTACCGTAGAATGAATAAAAGTGATGAGAAGACACATGCTTGCCTTATCCCTGATCTTAGGCGGGAAATATTCAGTCTCTCCCTGTTAGGTATGCTGTTGGCTGTAGGATTTATGTAGATGCCCTATTTTAGTTGGCTGGAGCTCTCTTCTATCCCTAATTTGCTGGAAGTTTTTATCTTAAATTGATGTTGGATTATAACAAGTGTCTTTCATGCTTCTAGAATTCTCTTTCTAAAACATAAATTTAATCATTCACTCTTTTGCTTGAAGTCCATCAAAACCCTCCCATCATCTCTAGAATAAAGTTCAAGTTTTTTATCATGCTATACATCTCTTGTTGCTTCTCAAGATACAGTTTATGTTATTCCACTATCAAACTACTTATAGTTCTATGAATGTACCAATTTTATTTCAGGACTCTGTGAATTTTTTCAGGTTCTTTTTGTCTGGAATACCATCCTCCTCACCCCCTAACCCTCAAACCTATCCCAGACACCTAATCATTCAAGTGAACTCCAGATATTTTTTAAAACTCAACCGATCACTCCTCTTTCAGTGTTAAATCTGTGTTTGCGCTTCTACTGTTGACACCACTTCCCTGCATGTAATTATTTGTTTACTTATTTGTCTCCCTCTTTAATAGACGGTGAGTAGTGTAAAAGTGAGGACTATATTTAGCAAAATGCTTAATAGAAATTAGGCCCTCAACATAAGTGAAATAACATCTGTAAAACTCTTTGAAGATTGACAATTTTTATAGAAAATTTCTTTATAGAAATCTAAGACATTATTATCTTTGTATTATATCCTATTGTCAACATGTATTCTTTTCTGAAAGTGACTAATGCAATGCAAATACTTATAAGAAATCTATATTACCAAAAAGGTATAATTATTATCATCATATCTCTGTTGATACACTAATACCTAAAGCCATTATCAAAATCTGGTCCCATACTGCCTACCAGGGTCCCAGCAAGGATATCTTACATAATGTTTACAAGTATTATTTCATTTAATTGTCATGAAAACCTTACAGGCAGGTCTTATTATTATCTCCATTATTATTATCTCCATTATTATCTCCATTTACAAATGAGAAAACAGAAGCATGGAGAGATTAAACCATGGAACCAGAAGTAGCAAATCTCTTCTTTTAAACTAGGCAGTTCAGCTCTAGAGCAGCAGTCCCCAACCTTTTTGGCACCAGGGACAGGTTTCATGGAAGACAGTTTTTCCTCGGCCTAGGGTGGGGGACTGGGGGGGAGATGGTTTCGGGATGATTCAAGCACATCACATTTATTGTGCACTTTATTTCTATTATTATTACATTGTGATATATAATGAAATAATTATACAACTCACCATAATGCAGAATCAGTGGGAGCCCTGAGCTTGTTTTCACTTGTCACTCACTGATAGGGTTTTGATATGAATCTGCAAGCAATTGATTTATTATGGTCTCTGTGCAGTCAAACCTCTCTGCTAATGATAATCTGTATTTACAGATGCTCCCCAGTGCCTCAGCTCCACCTCAGATCATCAGGCATTAGATTCTCATGAGGAGCGCACAACCTAGATCCCTCGCATGTGCAGTTCACAGTAGGGTTCGCGCTCCTATGGGAATCTAATGCCACCACTCATCTGACAGGAGGCAGAGAGGTAATGTGAGCAATGGGGAGCGGCTGTAAATACAGATGAAGCTTTGCTCGTTCGTCTGCTGCTCACCTCCTGCTGTGTGGCCCAGTTCCTAACAGGCCACAGATCGGTACCTGTCCGTGGCCCAGGGGCTGGGGACCCCTGCTCTAGAGCATATTCTTTTCATTTCTATGTTATATTTAATAAAAAAACCTTTAAAAATTAAATATACTGTTTTAATTTTTGCTCCTTTAGCTATATTAACAGAGAACAGTTATGTCTAATTATGCTGAATGCAAAAACAAGTATGGCTTCCAGATGCCTGTGGTGGAATTATGAACATATTTTGAAATTTAAGGAACACAGAAATGTTCCTTACCTACCTGAAATGTTCACTGGCAACTTGTAATTCATGAGCCATAGCTTTAAGAACACAGGCTTAAAAACTTAACCTTCTTTCAATTCAGAATTTTAGGAAAAACTATCAAATAGAGTGAATTTAAAATAATTCTATGTGACATATTTTTTATGCTTATTTATAGTCACAGTGACATTGTTGAATGTTTGCACACTGGATGTGTAAAATGTTCCATGAAACTGGAATACTCATGTAGACTTTACTTAGGGATACCAGAATAATTTAGAAGGTGTAAATATGAAAAACAGACATTTTAAGTTGCCTCCTCAGAGTTATTAAGTTATGCTTAATAACTTTCCTGTTACAAATTTAATATAGCTTTGAAGAACATAAAGACTCATTTAAAAGACTGTGTGAAATAGGTTACCTGCAAATTGAACAGAACTTTTTTGTTTTTTTCTATTTCTGATGCTTGTGATTGTTGTTGCTGTGCAACTTGCTCGACAGCATCAGTTAATGAAGATATGTCTTGTTTAGTCAGAGCTAGACAAAATAAAGTACATAATAAAAATCTAAATGCAAACATTCTAAGAAACATATTTCTTCACTCAAAGTCATGAAAATTGTTATGTTTTCTCAAAAATAAACTAAATTTAGGGTTGGTACTCTTCCTTTTTGACTATAAACAAAACCAAAATCAAAGGCCATAAAAACAGACAATTCAAAGTCACCTACTACAATATTATACCTGTTACTTTATGGAACAGTATAAATATTTTGATTGTCCTAAAAATTTTTATCTAGACCATTTGCACATATACTACAATTATAGTGGTACCATAACCATTTCTCAATTGCAGTTGATGAATTTTCATTATAGGCCTGCATTTTCAGGTTGTTATACTTTTTCTAAACATTCTATAAGTTTCCTCCCGGTAAACTTCAACAGCTTTCCTCTATTCTAATTTGCTATTAATTTTAACACAATTATCCTAGCATACTACTTTTTTGTTACCACTCATCTTTTAGTTATATATTTCTGAAGATAGCTTCATTACCTTCTTCAGGAACTCCTTGACTCTTCCTTTCTTCGTTGCCTGACATTCTTGTGTCTCTTTTCCCCTTTCTAGTTCACCTTCTGTACTCCTACAAAATAATCAGTGTAGATAATCTTTCACTTTTCTTTTTTTTTTCCGTCATGTATGAGTGATCCTGAAAGTAAATTAACTGTCAAATATCTCACAAGGATGACAATGACATTCGTCATCAGCTGCAAGAATTAAAATACAATGACTGAGTGAGAGATTTGGGGAAAAAGTAGAACTGTCCTTCCATCTTGGTTGTCCTGCTTTTCAGCTGTTATGACCCTGGGAAATTTCTTAATTTCTTTGCTCATCAGTGTCCTCATCTGTAAAACCTCATAGGGCTGTTGTAATAATTAATGTATGTAACATGCTTAGCACAGTAAATGACATAGAGTGAGTAACTAATTATTCTGGATTAGTAGCTAGTACCTCTAGAACTATTATGAAATGGATTCTAAAACTATAACCAGAATCTGTGAAAAACAGTGCCAAGCTGAATTAGCAACTTCTGTCATGGGTATAGGATACAGGGAATATGGCACTCCTGTGTAAGGCCAGGGTAAGCCTTACGCAAGTTTAAAATCACCATTCAATCTCTTCTATACGTAGGAGAAATGGATGAGATGAAGGGGTAGATTTTTTTCTCCCCTGAAAGATGGAGAGAAAGAGTTCTTTCCTGTACCAGTGCAACAAATGAATGCTGAGTTGGCAGAGTTAAAGGCACTACTAGTCTTTGGAAAAAGCGTATCTGATTGTGCCCGTCCATTCCTATACAAAAGAAATCATACAATTTTGCATGATTAATAAAAGGAATGTAGTGTTCCTGCTTAACATTTGAACATACGGATTTTTCTTTTTAGATGACATCCTTTTAAAAACATCTTCTCCCTAAAACCACCTAGTTTCTCTGAAGTTCATGCCATCATGAGCTTCAGGTGAGTAAAGTAAGAAAAAGTAAAAAGTAAAGTAAGCTTTACTCTTCCTTATTATCAGTTGACTTATAAATCTCTACCCTTCACTCCTAGATTACAGTATCTGACTTACTGTGTCTCTATTACTACTTTTTAAAATATTTCTTTGGAATTTCAACATCCACACAGGTGGTACTTTTAATCCCCTGACTTCTAAGTTCTTTGATGTTTTTCCTTATCCATCCTCCCCAGCCACCCACAGAGTATCACTACACCTCATCCATAATCTCAGATTCAAACACTTATTTTTCAGCTCATCCCTCCTAGTATTTTGACTGTAAGAGCTGTTCAACCACATTGACTCTTCTACCTTTTCATGGTCCCTTAGCCTTTCATGTACTCACGTCACTTACCCAGTTTAGATTCCTTTGCATTCAACCTCACTTTTTTTGTACCGCTCTCTCCCTGTCCTACTTCCCTGGAAAAATTCCAACTAGTTGCTTTGCTTACATACTAGTAGCTGAATATGCCTCAAGAAAAGCACACACCTGTGCTGTGGTCTCACTTAAAATTCAAGACACTTTATGTCAAGTGGGCCCTTGATGCTAGGCCCCTAGGATTCATCAAGTTTCATGGATGATTATTTCACTCCTTCTTCTCTGTCTTCAAACCTCCCACATCTCTTTCCCCCTCCTCTTTCAGTTGATAACCCTTCTTCTTATTTAACTGAGATAGTAGGAAAATATCAGAGAGGGTGGTAAATCACCCCATCTACCAGTCTTCCTGGACCTATACCTATATACTAGTCTATTCTTTTCTTGCAGTGAATAAAGTGTACTTGCTCTGACCTACGGCCAATCCTCTCCTTCTGTACCCCTTCCTCTCCTACTCAAGGACATTGCTCCTTCAAACGTCCCATCAATAGAATTTCCTCCTTTATTTGGTCAAACATATTATCCTGGACAGCCTATCGTATAATCATCAACAACAATAACCACTTTTGCTTGACACTTTAATCTCTTTCAGCTATTGACCCCTTTCTTTGCTCTCCTTTATAGCCAAGATCCTTGCTGTCTACTTCCTCTCCACCTATTCTTCTTGAACCCCCCAGAATTAATCGTTTACAACTCTAAAGTTCTTATCAAGGTATCTGTGACATCCACATTGCCACTTCAATGGCAAGTTTGGTCCTCATCTTCCTTAATGTATCCATGTCATTGACACATTTGATCATGTCCTCCTCCTTGAAACAACATACTTCTTGGTTTCCTTTGCCGGCTCCTCCTCACCTTTGTCATTTACGTTAGAGCGCCCTAGCACTCAGTCCTCAGGCCTCTTCTTTTCTCTAAACTTACTCTGCAGGTAATGTCATCCAGTTCTATGGCTTTAAACTCCCCTTATAGGCTCACAACTCCCAAATTCATATCCCTAACCTGACATCCCTCTTGAGCTCCAGACTCATACACAATTTCCTACCTGATATTTCCACTTGAATTTTTTATAGGCATTTCAACTTACTATGTTCCAAACCGAACTCTTTATGTCTCTGTCCACTCCATCACTACCCCTAAACCTGCTCCTTCATGGTCTTCTCCATCCCAGTAAATTATAAGTTCATTTTTCTTATTCACACTCAAAACTCTAGAATACTGTCAGGGAGGTATCTAGAAGGATATAGAGCCCAAGGCAATTTAATCAGCCTTGCCCAAGATAATCATAAATGAGAGCTCATTGTTGATGTTCCATAGACCCTTTGAGAAATCATTTTAGATATTCCCCAAGTATGTGGCCCAAGACTGCTGCCCCAATTGTTTTACTCAATAGACAAATCAGAATCTTGACTCTTTTCTTTCTCTTACATGCTGCATGCAATTCTTTTGGCAAAACTCACTGGTTCCACCTTTAAATTATATTGGAATCCAACCACTCCTTACCTCTTCCAAATACTATCTTAGCTAAGAAGGCTTCCCTGATAATCCCTATAAAACATGACCTTCATCCCCCATTTCCTTACCCTGCCTCATTTTTCTTAACAGCATTTATCACTTTTATCATTTTTCCTTTTTATTTCCTTTTACTAATGTAAGCTCCATGAGGGAAGAGACCTAGAACAGTGCCTGGAACATAACAGGTATCTAACTATAGTCTATCTCCACTTCAGTTGACCCTGTTCTACTGATAGAATAATGTTTCTGAAACACTGTTCTGATCACATCAAATAGCAACCAATCTTTCAACTCCACCTTAGATGCATCTTCTTTAAGAAGTTTTTCTTGATCTTTCTGCGTATATATGATCCCTCTCTCTCTCTTTTTAGTACAATTGTTTCTATATCTCTATTATACCAAGATAGATAACAGTCTAGGTCTCAGGGTAAGATAGGGCTAATCTTGAAGCTAGGTTGTGCCACTTACTAGTTTATTAGGTAAATTCTTTCCAGCCTGAGTCTCAGATTCCTTGTCAATAATAGTACTTTCCTCATTAGATTTTTGTGAGGATGAAGTGAAATAATGAATATAAAGCATTTAGCAAATTCCTGCCACTGAACAATTTCTATTCCTACTGTTTACATTACTTTATACTATATTTCCCTATTAGACTATAAGCTCCAGGAAGTCTTACTCATTTTTGTATTCTTTAAAGTATTTGATGAAGAAACCAAAAAAAAAATTAAGAAAATTAGATTTATACAATAAAAAATAAAGTAACTGGTACTTCTTGATATCTATTTCTGAAGCAGCATAAATTGAAGAACTCTTGGGTGATATTTATTTAAACCAGCTATTCATGAAAGGATATCTGGTTTAAAATTGAGGAAATTTTCATTTTTTCTGGATCTCTACTGTAGAATGGACAAAAAATAAAAACAAACTACTGCCATCTACTGATAATTCATTACAATTGCATAAATCAATAAAAACGAGTTTAGAGACTAGACAGTATTAATTATTCTTTCATTCAAACCACGTATGTTGGTACATATTATATACAAAGCATTGTGGGAAATATAATTATGAATTTAGTGACTGATTTAAAAAAAAAACCTTATAATACCTATAGTATTTGAGAGTAAATATCCAAATATTATTTATAAAAAATCATTTAGGGGTTTCCCTGGTGGTGCAGTGGTCGAGAGTCCGCCTGCCGATGCAGGGAACACGGGTTCGTGCCCCAGTCCGGGAAGATCCCACATGCCGCGGAGCGGCTGGGCCCGTGAGCCATGGCCGCTGAGCCTGCGCGTCCGGAGCCTGTGCTCCGCAACGGGAGAGGCCACAACAGTGAGAGGCCCGCGTACTGCAAAAAAAAAAAAATCATTTAGGCAAAACACTCTCAACTAAAAAAGTAGCTTTATAGAAAACAGTGCAATGGAAATACTATAAACCACCATGTTCTATATTAACTATAGCCAACATTTACTAATTACCATAAGTACTTTCACATAGATTATCTGTTTTAGCCTTCAGAGCAATCCTATAAGCTAGACATGATTTTTACCTGTATTTTGTAAATGAGGAGACTAAGACTTCGAGAAATAAGGAAATTCGCCAAAGGTCATACATCCAAGCAGGAAGGATGAAATTTGAAGCAACTAGGATCCAAATTAACATTTATTAGGTATTTAGTATGTACTAAAGCATTGTGATGAGCATGATTTTTGTGCACCATCTCATCTGAATTCGAGGCGAGTGCCTGTAATTGGCCCTTGGGAGGAGATTTTAAAAAGGCCATGGCTTGAGTTTTTGGAAACTCATCGTCTGGTACCTCCCTTCAAGTTAATGAGCAAAATAAAGCAAGGCTGTCAAACTCCCCTCGGGTTTTGAGAGCTTCAGGCTTAAAAGAATCAAGATGAGGCAACTGTCCATGTGCGCCCATGTCACATAAGCACCATTTTTCATCCTGAATGGAAAAAGCTGCTATGTGGACCTGCCAAGCAGTTTAAGTAGTTAAGTTTATAATTACCTCCTACCCCCTTTAGAACATACATTTGATTAGAAAACAAGGAAAGAAAAATTACTTAGTTAATTTTCACATAAGTGTGAAATTGCTTTTGTTTTTGTTTTCCAAGTGGAAGGGGGGAGTTTAATAACTGAAGCTGATGTTTAACTGGGGAAGCTAAAAAAAACTGACCTGGGGAAGAGAGAAAAGTTTTCCTGGAATTGAGAGTTTAAAATTATGTCTATATTTGTCATAAGCATGATGGAATCAGTTCTGGATGGTTCAATTCCAACAATAAATTAAAGAGGAATCATGGGGAAAATGTAACAAACTGCACAAATGAGTAAGAATCAATAGTACATACTTCAGGTAAAAAAGAGGACAAGTCTTTTCAACCACATGTTTTCAAGAGAAGTTACATCATCAGAGTCATCCAAAAAGAATAAATTTTGTAATAAATAAATCCCAACGCAAGGAACACGTGGAGCCAACAGAAGCTGGAAGAGGCAAGGAAAGCTTTGAAGGGAGCACGGTCCTGACACACCTTGATTTAAGACTTCTGCCTCCATAACTATAACACAACACATTTTTGTTGTTTTAAGCCATCCAGTTTGTGGTCATTTGTTATGGAAAACTTAGGAAACTAACATAATCTTTTAACAAGGAAATTTGCATGTTACATGTCCTTTTCTGGAAGGACTCATAAACCCTAGTGTGAATGGTTTAAAGACAAGTGTTCCCAGTTTTATTCTAATTGTTCTCATGATAAGGATTTACATGGTGATTAAGAATGCCTGGGATTTTCCCAAAGGTTCCCCTCAACAGCCAGGCACTCTCTCTGCCCCCAAAATGCTCTAAGTCTCTATGGGGGAAATAGATGCAAAGTCAAATAATGAAAATGTAGAGGAACAGTAGGTGTTCTCTTAGTCTACCTACACTTAACCTCTAACCAATTGACTCATTTTGTTTCCTTTTAAATCATAAGCTGCTAATTCCCACATCACGCTGAATGCGCATGCTGAATGCTAAAGGGTTACAAAGCTAGTCTCCAGTGAGTCTGCCCACTTCTGCTCCTACCAGTGGAACTGTACAGCTGACAATGTCACTTGTGTTTGTTCCTGAACCTGTTTATGCCAGTTGTACTTGTCACTGTGCTTTCATAATTTAATTAAATATTATGTAAACCAATGAAATAGTGTGGAAATAAAGTTTGTTGTTTCTTTAAAAGCTATGTTTAATATTTTGGAAAGACCCAATTAAGGTGAGTTGTTTGAATGTGTGAGATAACTATAAATGATTATAAAGAAGAAATCTGCACTCAGCTTCACAAGTGCCTCTAGGTTATTTTCCTCTTAAAGGAACCGAATCTTGGGAAAGCTTAGCTCAAGGCTGAGAAGTGTAGTTTATGGAAGAGATATGATGCAGAACTCTAATCAGGAGGCCATGTGCAAAGAAAAGGCCTTGGACCTTCTCAACAGATTGGCAAACAAGCATATAGTTGTTTTAGGTTAAAAAATGTTTAAGGTATTATGGTATATTTTCATAACTCTCTGGTTTAACTGACTTTCCTTTGAAACAGTTTTATTTAGATATAATTTATATACTACCATGTTCATCTTTATGAGGTATACAATTTAATGTTTAATTGACTTTTTCAATGTACTGCTTGGTTATGGATACAGATTGCATCTATGAGAGAGCTTCTCCTATACAAACAAAATGCTAAAAGAAGCAGTTAATTCTGCTTAGCAAGGGGATGGGGATTCAAGGTGATGTTTGAGCTTGAAGGGTCTTGAACAAGTAACAGCTAAAAAAAGCATATAAAGAGAAGAGTGTTCTAAGCAGAAGGGATAGCTTATGCAAAGGATGAAATCATATGGTGTTCCAAGGAACAGCCTTTAGTTTGAGTGGCTTGGGAATAGGGAAGTTGTTTTTTCAAATCTAATTATGCATCTGAATCATCTGTAGAGATTAAAACAAAACAAAAGCAAAGCAAAACAGGTCGAGACTTGACTCCCCGAGTTTCTGATTCAAATGTATATCTGGAGGTGGGGGAGGGGGAAGCTCCCTGGATTTATATTTTTTTAAAGTTCTACTTGTAGTTCTGAGGTGTAGCCAGGATTGAGAGCCACTGGAGTGGGGGGAATGGGGATGAGGTAAGAGAGTGCTAGGAGATGAGGCCACAGCCCAGTACCAGATGATGAAAGGAAATGGTATATAAATACAATATAACAGCAAACTTTCTCTTCCCTGACAGCTTCCCTATTCTGAAATATTTCTTTTTTACCTTTTTTACTGTTACCGTTGCATGACAGAAAATGAATTCCCACCATTGTCTATAAAAACAGAGATAAATGTTTTCACCCAGCTTTGTAACTAAAGACCTCTATTTTGCTTACAGTAATATTTAACATAAAGCAAGCTCAGAGCAGAGTGCATCAGGTGCACCACATAGCACTCAGTGCTCTTAATAAATGTCCAGCAAAAATGATGAAAGTACAATTTTTGACAGAAACATCTGCCAGACACTGAACAGTGGGTTCCTATTCTGGGTTGGTGATGCCATAGAATAGCAGCACCTGCCCACTTCAGGTGCTCTTCTAAACTCCCAGATGGCTGAGATTCTTTCTCTCAGGGACAGGTTCTTCAGCACTTATTGTCTGAGCGACTGTCAGAAGGGACCCCCTCCTTCTGTCATAACCAGTTCCACAGGAAGCATCCTTTCTCCTACTCTTTGAAGGTTGGAGATATTTCCCCTTGGCCAGAGTGTCTGCCTTCCATATACATAGGAGCTGTTCAATGTTTTTAAATAAATGAATGTTATGCTCTTTCAGGGCAGAGAAAGGATGCTAATTTACATCTTCATCACAACTCTAAGGGTCAGTACCTTCTAATTTTCTACTCCTGGCGCGTAGTTTTCAAAGGGCACCTAGGACCTCCGTTTATCCACACACGTGCAGGAGCTGTAAAGTTTAGTCAGCAAGTTAGGCAGGATCAGCAAAAAGGCAAAGGAGGGGTTCAGCCAACTCGTTTCTGGAAACAACTAAAGCAAAACCGCTAAAAAAAATTTAAAAAGTCTACCTCAGGAGGCACGTTACTTGAACTTGGATGGGACAGAGTGCCAAGCGCTAACGCGAGGAGGTTCTCAGGCCTGGGCTCTGGGGAGGAAACCGAGTGTCCCGACCGCGCTGCCGGGCCGGCGACTCGTTGTGGCCCGACTGGGAGCGCGGACGCCGGGAAAGGGCTTCATCGCTCCCGGGCAGGGGGAGGAGGTCATCGACCCGAGGCCGCTCGGCCGCGCGCCCAGTCCGGAGGCCCGCCCCGCTCCCTCGCGCCCCGCCCACCCCGCCCAGCCACCGGCCCGCGGACCCGCCTGGCTCCGGTCATTCGGTCGGTCGGCTGCTCCGGTTCCCGTTCCTCTTCCTGGCGCCGGGCGGTTGGTGCGGGCTTGCGCCCTCCTGACCCGGAACTGCTGACGGTTCCCCGCGGTCTGGCGCGTCCGACCCGAGAGTCGCTCCCCGGGTCGCTCCCGCTTCCCCGCACTCAGCCCCCCGGCCCGGCCTCCGGGGCTGCCGGGCGGGGGCTCCGTCAGTCCGCGGTCAGGCGGGTGAGGCGGGACGGGCGCCGCCCGCCCAGCGCCCGGGCACACGCTCGCGGCCTCCTGGTCTCGTTCAGGCGGAGGACTGGGGGCGGCAGACGCCTCAGAGCTCGCCGCCCACCGAGTGTGCAGCGGAAGGCGACGCGCGACGGGCGAGGACGGAGAACGGCCTCGGGTGTGCGTCCGGCCGTCGGAAAATCTCGAAGGGGCGGGAGGAGTCCGGCAGGTGAGGATCGGCGCCCCACAGGGCCGAGCGCGGACCGGGCGGGTGGCAGAGGCGTCGTGGGGCTTTTCACGGTCCAGAGCGAGGGGGTTAGGAGTGGCGGCAGGAGAAAACCATCCGGGGCACAGAGGGTCACCGAAGGGGTCACCAAAGAGAGACCGGCAGCCTGGGGTGGGGGAGGGCAGGGGCTGGGGGGAGAAGATCTGTGCGCGGAGAGTGAAGAGGAGAGCAGGTGGGACGCACACCTGATCCAAATTGCCGTTGCTTATGAGATAATTGCCATACCTGAGTCCTGCGTGAATCCTGGAGTCTGCTTTTATCTCCTTAAAAACGCATTTAAAAAAAATTGAAGTATAGTTGATTTACAATATTAGTTTCAGGTGTACAACATAGTGAGTCAGTATTTTTAAGATTTTATGCCGTTTAAAGTTATTATCAAATATTGGCTATATTCTCTGTGCTGTACAATATATCCTTGTAGCTTATTTATTTTATACATAGTAGTTTGTACCTCTTAATCTCCGACCCCTATCTTGCCCCTCTCTCCTTCCCTCTCCCCGCTGGTAACCACTAGTTTGTCCTCTGTATCTGTGAGTCTGCTTCTGAAAAACAACAATAACAAAATGCAATTTTTCTGAAGGAAAAAAAAAGCAATTAAGAATTTAAAAATTTTTAATTTTTAGGTGCAGCTCCTTTTAACCTATTGAACTCGACACCCAGGTATCTCATATGAAGGGATGTAAATTAGCAAACCAGTGATATCCGGATTAATGATATATCAATAAGTTGACACCCTGTAATTAAAATACAGGACTTTGTCTAAGTCAACAAGTAATTCCCTGCTTAAAATTTGCTACCTGCACCATTGTAAAGCAATTATACTCCAATAAAGATATTTTTAAAAAATTGCTACCTGAAAACAAAACAAAACAAAAACTGTTGTTCTGCTGGAAAGATGTAAAGTACTTTCACAAAATGAAGTAAGAGATGGCTTTGCTTTTCATTGTCCTGGTTCTGACAAATAGTGCACTAGCTTTTCTGGGAGGAGTCTAGATTCACTATTTTGGTTACATTTTTAAGTCAATGCAATTCTTTTTACCCATCCACAAGTTTCTGTTGTAACTATAAGGAGATTGATATAACTTTGTATTCTTACTTAGGCTAATTTTTCTTTACAGGTGATTTTGGGGGGCACAAAAACCTTCTTTGAAGAACTTTGTACAGTGTTGAAGGATGGCAGAAGCAGTGTTGATAGATCTCTTTGGTTTGAAATTAAACTCTCAGAAAAACTGTCATCAGACATTACTAATGACATTGAATGCTGTCCGAAACCACCATGGTGCCAAGGCCAAGTTCCTTTGCATAATGTGTTGCAGTAACATCAGCTGTGACCATGATGATTGTGAATTAGAAACAAGCAATGGATTATCTGCTTTCCTGAGAGAATTTGAGACTGTTAGCAATTCCAGCATGGCTGCCTCATTGTATACCATTAAACAAAAAATTGATGAAAAAAATTTGAGCAGCATTAAGGTAATTGTGCCTGTGCACCGGAAGACATTAATGAAGGCTTTTATTGGTCAACTCTTCACTGATGTTTACAATTTTGAGTTTGAAGATTTACAGATGACTTTGAGAGGAGGTCTTTTGAAACAGCCTACTGAAATAAACATAATCACAGCTCAAGAACTAGAGGCAATCCGGAATGAAATAGAAACATATTTGAGAAGTTTGCCAACACTGAAAGGAGAATTAACCATTATCACATCTCCTTTGATCCCAGGTACGTTAAACACTATCTGTTGATTTTACTGGATGTGAAAAGCCAGTCTTTCTTTACAGGTTGTTTACCTCTTTTTGCTTCTTTCTTTTGTAGACTGTTGTGAATTTATGTGTTCATTAGCATCAGTTACAACATGGGAGTGTCATGCATTGCCTTGTAGTGTCAGGGGTGTCAAGGGATAGCCACCCTAAGTAAATAATTTCTCTTTATGCAAATTCAGCTTTAAGACAAATCCCCCAGCCTTCCTTTTAAATGAGATTTATGACCGTAAGCATTTGCTACTCAGAAATTCTGAAACCTTAACTCATTGGTGCTTTCACAGAAGAATGAAGTTTACTGTGAGCTATATGCTATTGGGATAACAAAGACAAATGGGACAAAAGATACCCTTAGAAGAGCAATAATCCCACAGAAAAGGTAAAACAAACTCAAAGCATTATGTCGTAAGAATAGGTGGAGGTATAAAGAACTGTAGAAATTAGAAGGCAGATAAACTAATGCAGGATGAGGTGATTAGGGAAAGTCTTAATGAGAGACTGGGTTTGTAATGCTTATAGTCTTTTGTATGTCATGTTTTTAATCTTCATTGTTTATCTTCAACAGATATTTTCATACATGGATTTACTACAAGAACAGGTGGGATATCTTACATACCAACTCTTAGCTCATTCAATCTCTTCAGTAGTTCCAAACGGAGAGATCCCAAGGCTGTTGTTCAAGAAAATCTGCGTAGGCTGGGGAATGCAGCAGGATTTAACGTGAAGAAATTTTACCGGATAAAGGTACAATTTTATTTCCTATTTTGGAAGATGTAAAGTATATTCTTATTTATTTATTTATTTATTTATTGCTGTGTTGGGTCTTTGTTGCTGCGTGCGGGCTTTCTCTAGTTGCGATGAGCAAGGGCTACTCTTCCTTGCGGTGTGTGGGCTTCTCATTGTGGTGGCTTCCTTGCGGTGCGTGGGCTTCTCATTGTGGTGGCTTCTCAGGCTGTAGGCGTTCGGGCTTCTATAGTTGTGGTGCGCAGGCTCAGTAGTTGTGGTGCGCAGGCTCAGTAGTTGTGGCTTGCAGGCTCTAGAACACAGGCTCAGTAGTTGTGGCGCATGGGCTTAGTTGCTCCGTGGCGTGTGGGATCTTCCCGGACCAGGGATCGAACCCATGTCTTCTGCATTGGCAGGTGGATTCCTAACCGCGGCACCACCGGGGAAGTCCCTAAAGTATATTCTTGACTCTGCTAATGACTACGTGGACTTTAAATAAGTTATTTAACTTTTGCATCTAGTGTTTTATCTAAGATTTAGGATAGTATTTGTGATTATATTTCTTAGAGCTGTATACCATAACCTAAAGATCAATTCTATGATGATATATATATATTTCCTCTGGTGCTCCTCACATCTAAAAGTACAGTGAATTCTCAGAGTATAGTACCACTGCCCTTTTTGATTTAGAAGGAAGGTTCCTGCTTGGTGGGAGAGAAAAGCCATTATTAATCAACACTAGGAGGAACTCGGGTACAACTGATGAGATAATTGTTTCTTACAGAATTCTAGCGTTACTTGACTCCAGGAAAAGTAAAAAGATCATTGATTTGGAAATTTAATTTCTTTCAGTAAATTAGTACTTTGTGGAAAGTACTGCAATTAGAGATTTACCCATCTCTAGTGGGAGGTATTCATGATGGATGGACTATTTTGAATTTTTTAAAATGTTTGTTAAATGTAAAATCTGCTTTCCTTTGAGGAAAATATGCAGAGATTATCATATCATAAAGTTAAATACGTAAGTTTGTTATTTTATCATATATGGACCTGATATATTTAATGAATGCTTGTAACCTTAAACTGGTTATATAATTTTGTACAAGATGCGTACTTTAAGAAAAGCTTATGGTATGAGAAACTCTATCTTCAAAACATTTTTTTCTCACATCTTTGGTATTAGACTGATCATGCCAATGATGTCTGGATTATGGGAAGGAAGGAGCCTGAATCTTACGATGGAATCACCACAAATCAAAGAGGAGTCACAATAGCGGCTCTTGGTGCTGACTGTATACCGATAGTTTTTGCCGATCCTGTCAGAAAAGCATGTGGGGTTGCTCACTCTGGTAAGTGTACTTAATTAAACATCTAGGATTTTATCAATTTTTTTTGGTACGGGAAAAGTTATAATTTCTTTCTGATGGATATTACAAATGGTTAATTACTACCCATGGTGATAAGTGTAAAGATAGGGAAGAGCTAGCAGACTCTTAGGACAGGAGCAGATAAAAGGAGTCCCTAGGTTAAATTATATGAATCAGAGTATAATTCCCAAAGAAAGCAGTACTTAGGCTGATTCCTGGGGGGATTTATAGGATTTGGCTAGGTGCCAGTGTTTCTCAGCAGGGGTGCTATTAACATTTGGGGCAAGATAGTCTTACACTGACTGCAGACCAAGTTTACTTGGCTTTTTGAAATTCTTCATGCCAGTAGCACTCAGAGTTGTAAGAACCAAAAGAAAAAAAAAGCCTCCATGCTTTTCAAAACACTCCGAGGGAGTTGTACTGCCTCTAGTTAAGAACCCTTGAAGTCCAGGTAATAGGGAATAGGAAGTTGAGACATGTTGGGTCGCAGAAGGTGTTTATGAAAATGCAGCAGCATGTGTAAAGGTGTGGAGGTAAGAAAAAGCAAGATATGTTTGGAAAACTGCATTTAGTTTAATATGCTGTAGTCTAGTGGCTTTAGCTATTCTCTGAAGATAAGAACAAAGAATGTTTAGGTTCTGTGTTGTGTTAATGGAATTTTGTTTTCTGGTGATTTTTTAAAAAAAATACTGTTTAGACTATCCAGTGGTTATGAGTCTATGTAAAATGAAGAGTGATCTTTTAGATTTTCTTCTGCTTGTAAATCAACGATTACTTTGCATTTTAGACTATAGATAAATAAGAAAGTGGTGCATTTTTCTTTTGATCTAGCTAAAGTAATGAATGACTAGAAGTCAGTGACATTGTCAAAAGTTACTTAAAATTTGAGTTTTAGTTCCTGGATATAAAACGGGAATATTATTTGCTACTTCCTGGGTTTTGAAACATTAAATTCAAAAGTATCAAAGATAAAAGAAACAGTCTTGGAAAGGAACAAAGTTAGATGTCTCACACGTCTCGATTTCAAAACTTGTTATAAAGCTACAGTAATCAAAACAGTATGTATGGGTTTCCCTGGTGGCGCAGTGGTTGAGAGTCCGCCTGCTGATACAGGGGACACGGGTTCGTGCCCTGGTCCGGGAGGATCCCACATGCCGCGGAGCGGCTGGGCCCGTGAGCCATGGCTGCTGAGCCTGCACGTCCGGAGCCTGTGCTCCGCAACGGGAGAGGCCGCGGCAGTGAGAGGCCCGTGTACTGCAAAGAAAAAAAAAACTGTATGGTACTGGTATAAAGACAGACGTATAGAGCAATGGAATAGAATAGACATCCCAGAAATAAACCCTTGCATATACGGTCAAATGATTTTTCACAAGGTACCTAGACTATACAATGGGGAAAGGGCAGTTTCTTTAACAAATGGTACTGGGAAAACTGGATAGTCATATGCAAAAAAATAATGTTAGACCCTTATCTTATGTCATATATAAAAATTAACTCAAAATGGATCAAAGATCTAAATGTAAGAGCTAAAACTCTAAAACTCATAGAAGAAAGTGTAATCGTAAATCCTTGTGATCTTGGATTAAGCAATGGTTTCTTAGATATGATGCCAAAAGCACAAGCAACAGAAGTAAAAATAGATAAATTGAATTTTGTCAAAAGTAAAAACTTCTGTGCATCAAAGGACACAGTAAACAAAGTGAAAAGTCAGCCCAACCGATTGAGAGTAAATATTTGCAATTCATATATCTACTAAGGAGTTAATATTCAGAATATATAAAGAACACCTACAGTTCAACAACAACAACAAAAACCAACTTGATTGAAAAATGGGTAAAGGACTTCAATAGAACATTCTCCAAAGATGATACGCAAATGTCCAACAAGCATGTGAAAAGATGCCCAACATCACTAATAATTTGGGAAAAGCAAATCAAAACCACAGGATATCACCTCACACCCATTAGGATGGCTAATATTATAAAAAAAAAAGTGTTGGTGAAGAGAAATGGAAACCATAATGCACTATTGGTGGGAATATAAAATGGTGCAGCTCCTATAGAAAACAGTATGATGGTTCCTCAAAAATTTTTAAATAGAATTATCATATTACCCAGCAATTCCACTTCTGAATATATATCCGAAAGAATTGAAAGCAGGATGTTGGCAGGATATTTGCACACCCATCCTCATAGCAGAATTATTCACAGTAGCTAAGAGGTGAAAGTAACCCAAGTGTCTATCCATGATTGAATGGATAAGCAAAATTCATACAATGGAATATTATCCAGCCTTAAAAAGGAAGGAAATCCTGACCCATGCTACAACATTGAATGAATCTTGAGGATATTATGCTAAGTGAAATAAGCCAGTCACAAAAAGACAAATACTATATGATTCCACTTATAGGAGGTACCTAGCGTAGTCAAATTCATAGCAACAGAAAGAAGACGGGTGGTTGCCCGAGACTGGGGAAGGTGGAAAGGCCAAGTTCTTGTTTAATGGGCATAGAGTTTTAGTTTGCAAAATGAGAAAGTTCTGGAGATTGGTTGCACAACAATGTGAATAGACTTAACGTTACTGAAGAGTACACTTGTAAACAGTTAAAATGGTAAATTTTATGTGTTTTTTCCCACGATTTTCAAAAGTGTGCATAAAAAGTGAAGGAGAGAAGACTAAGAAGATATAATTCCAGTGGAAACTGAAAGTATAGAACATTTTAAAAAGGAAGTGGAAGGGACCTCCCATTAAATGTCTCTTCTGTGTCAGGTGCTTTGTATAATAGACCTCATTTAAAACCCAGTATTTTAATTAATTAGTTGATTATTTGGCTTAATTAATTAATTTTGTGATTCATTTACTATTTCTGGACTTCAAAAATACATAAACTGACTCTGTTCATTTTTAACTTAGATATAAATTATGATGAAATTTTCTTATGTTTTAACTTTGCTTATCTCTTTTTCTTCTTATTTACTAGGTTGGAGAGGTACTTTGTTAGGTGTTGCTATGGCTACAGTGAATGCTATGATAGCAGAATACGGCTGTAGTTTGGAAGACATTATTGTCGTACTGGGGCCTTCAGTAGGACCTTGCTGTTTTACTCTTCCAAGGGAATCAGCAAAGGCATTTCATAATCTTGATCCCGGATGTGTACGGCTCTTTGGCTCACCAAATCCCTATGTTGACATCCGTAAAGCCACGAGGTATGCTTGATTTCAGTCCAGAACTGCAAGTTTGATTATTGCTTATTGCTTCTAAAATGAAGATAATTTTAGAAAACAATTAGTAACTCCAAGAAAAATTCAGGTGGCAGATATTTAAGTAGCTGACATATACACTTACACAAAAACTAATTTTAAATATGAAATCTTTTCTCATTGAAGTTTGAATAACAGCAGTCTTTTGATCTGGTATCTCTTATTGATTTAAAAGTGAAGGAAGAAACAGCTGGCATTTAATTTTAAGAGATCTACTTAAACTTCATATAGAAAAGTTGGCACTTTTTATAGAAAAGAATGGCACGTCACAGACATTCCTCAGCTAAATTCTCCTAAATATAATAAACTATCAGGAAACTGATATTTTAAAATTATTCTTATTCTCTAATTAACTGGAGGAATATGTTTTTCAGCAAAAATACTAGATAATATAAACACATAGATACTTTCAAGTTTTTTATGGTCCCTTGCATTTTTGAATTTATGAAATTTTGCTATTAATAGATAATAAAAATTATTTGTCATTTCTACAAAGGAAAATTGATGTCTGATTTGAATCGCGTTTCTTTTCCAGTCAGCAAAACCTTACCCAGATTCTGCCTCCTTTAGTACATAAGTAGAAAGGATTGAAATTGATTCTTAAATGTGACCTGTGAAATAAGTGTCACTAATTTATAGTCATATTTCATACCATGAAGTGTTTAAGGAGAAGCAAATTTTCTGTGAAAAATCTGGTTAATAGAAGGAAAGGAGGCGGGAGAGCCAGATGACTACAAAGCACGCTCTGTCTGAATCAATTGAATCTTGTCTTCAAGATTCTTCTTAAATTAGTACTTGATTTTGCTTATAAAAGTTTCTTCTTAAATAATTACTTGATTTTGCTTATAGAATCCTATACCCAGATCATGTCTGCAGGACAATATGGAGGTTATACAGTTCACATATGAACTTAGATGATTAATGGTGGTGAAATCTACCATTTCCTGACTTGTCCTTGTTCTGTAACTGAATAACAATTTGCATTGTTCCAAGCAGATCTTTCCCAGAATTCTTTTACACCAATATCCATACTTTTTGCATATTGCTTTGGCTGTTGGTAAAGTAAACTTTCTGTCTTTTGAAAAATCTTTATCCTAAGGATTCTTCTAGAACAGGGAGGAATTCTACCACAGAATATTCAGGACCAGAACCAAGATCTGAAACTCTGTACCTCCTGTCATCCTGACAAGTTTTTCTCCCATGTCCGAGATGGCCTTAACTTTGGTACACAGATTGGCTTCATATCAATTAGAGAATGAGGTATAGTAGCTTCTCTCTCCCTGCTCCCTCTCCCTTCTCGTCCCTCTTTCCACCTTTCCCTCCCCTCATTTTAAAAAATAATTAATTATATTTAACGTTACTTACTTATTCCTGTAGGAAGAATTAATTCTCTACTTTTTAGTGAAGCAATAGTAGTAGAACAGTTAATTTTCTGTGACATACTCTAATATAAAGAGCAGCTACTTCTTTTCCTAGTTAATGAAGAATATATTATAAGTATATATAAAAGTATAAAAATAAATAATTTTTTCATTAAAAAATCATGTTATATATGCCATTTAACTCTATGTACTTGACATCTGTATATTTTCTTTTTTTGACATCTGTATATATTTTTTTGACATCCGTATATTTTCTATCATAACATCTTTATATCTTTCTTTTTTAAATTCTTTTAATTTTTGAGAAGAAATCTTTCCATAAAAATTCGAAATTCTATAATGATAATACATACACAGACCAGCCTGGTTTTACAACCAAATTTCCAGCTGATTATCTATAGTAGGAGTTGGTCAGTTTTCTTTAAAGGGCTAGATAATACATATTTTAGGTTTTGTGCAACATGTAGTCTCTGCTCAGCTATTCAACTCTGCTTTTGTAGAGCAAAAGCAGACAGGAGCAGGAATGAATGAGTATGTCCAGCTTCAGTAAAACTTTATTTACAAAATAAAGATTTGGTCCACAGGGTATAGTTTGCTGACACTTGAGCTACAATCATAGAGCAAGATTTAGCGTAACTTCATTAAATTAGTATTTCTTAGAGATGGACTTTTTTTTTTAGCTATACAAAAAATATTTTGTGACAGTGATTTGGCACTGACCCTTTAGCATATACCTGATTTTCTTTAAGGTTACTTTTAATTGAATTAATATCATTTTTAGGCTTTACAATGTCTTTAACTCTTTAATATACAAAAGGCTTTGATAGATTTAGTGATTCTTACATTGATATTTTAATAGCACTACTAATGGCCTCCTCATATTTGATTTCTATGTATTTTTACAGATACTTGACTGGATTTTTGCATAACTATTTCCTGCTTCCTTCCAAACCAACTGTAAGAGAGAAATTTAGCTGTTTGATATACTTAAAACCAAAAGGATTATAATGAATAATTCATCTTTCAGATATATTTTCATTATTATCCAAAGCCAAATGATTTCATTGATTCTAACAATAACTGACACAAAATTAATATGATGTATTGGGTTGGCCAAAAGGTTTGCTCAGTTAATGAATACGTTGTTCAATAATGTTCTTGGTGAAAATGTGTCTTTTATTTTTACTTAAACCCAAACGAACTTTTTGGCCAACCCAGTAGTTTATATGTTACACAGATAAGGATTATTCTTAAAGTTTGTACTCTGTATTTGTTATGTAAATCAGGAATAGGTCTATTCAGTTTAGTATTTATTGGGTAGCCTCTATTTGTCAAGTGTTGTGTGAATCATAGGTGAAATCAAGATGAGTAATACTTTTTCCCTTTGAGTCTAATGCAGTGGAAGAGATAAACACTTCTAACACTTTAATTTTAATAGCCAAAGAGTACAGGGAAGGGAGGATTAATTCTATGTGAAAGGCAGAATAGAGAAGGTATTACAGGGAACATGACTTACCACATGCGCCCGAAAGATGATGTATAGGCTTTTGACAAATAAAGAACAGCCATAACAGGTAGAGGGAATACCATAAACTAGGGCATGAAGCTGTACGTGTATAACATGTTCTGCAAAGAGAAAAGTGTGGGCAGGAGTTACTGGAAAAACAGGTTAGAAACAGATTAGTTCAGGTCTTGAATGCTGTGTCAGAGAGTTTGGAGTTTATTTTCCAGGCAAAGAGTAGGCATAGAAAGTAGGAGAGTGTTTTTATGTCCTTGGCATTATATTTAACAGGATGGATTTAACTTGTGAGAGACTAAAGCAGAAAGATTAGTTAAGAGGCAGTCACGATACTTTTAAAAAGAAATAATGAAACCTGAATGCAGTGGAAATTAAAGCAGAGGCAAGAGTAGATGAATTAGCGAGACATTTCAGAGATGGAATCTGCAGATCCTGTTCCTAGATCATGGAGGTAAGAGATGAGGAAGAGTGGAGAAGTCCCTGATGCCTCCACAGTCTCTGCTTGGCTGACTACCTAGAGTGGCAGCAAAGATGGGGAGGAGGTTTGGGGCAAGGGGGAGGAATAATGAGATTGACACACAGACTGAAGTACATCCAGATGGAAATTATGTGGTCAACAATTAGAAATAGAGACCAGGAACCTGGGAGGGAGTTGCGAAAAAGACAGCAGTTTGGGAGTTGGCTATGCAGAGGCAATGCCCGAGTCTGCTGGAATAGGCTGGATCATCTCCGTAGAAACATAGAGTGAGAAGAAGGGAGGTCCAAGGATGAAACCTCATGCAACACTTGCATTTGGAGAGCCAGAAGCTGAACCAGTCAAAAAAATTGATCCTAGAAGAAAAAAATGTATAGTCATTTTGGAGAAAGAAGCCAGCATCGATATGAGAGGAAAAGAAATCTTCAGGGAGTTCCCTGGTGGCCTAGTGGTTAGGATTTGGTGCTTTCACTATGGAGGCCCAGATTTGATCCCTGGTCCGCATCCTGCATGCCGTTCAGCATGGCCAAAATACAAAAATAAATAAGTAAGTAAGTTAAAAAAAAAAAAAAATCTTCAGAGAGAAAATGAGAAGAAACCAATGGATTAACCATGTTGAAGCTGTTCTATAGGTCATGGTGGAGGAGTCAGATTTCAGTTCTTTGAGGACGAGGATGCACCAGTGTCAACCCTTCTTTGCTAGTATTTATTGGAGAAAATAAAGCACCGAGGGCTGTATTTTGAAGCGTGTGTGTGTGTGTGTGTGTGGAGGGGGGATGAGTAGTCTTAAGTGTATTTGTAGGCTGAAGAGAGGAGTTAGGCTGTTTTCACTTGGGAAAAATGGTATGTATGGTATATACTTTTAATGTGAATTGTCACATTGTACCTTAAAAAGATTTCTTATTTCATACATATATTTCTTACCTGAATATGCAGAAAATTACATTTGTTTGGTACTTATAAAGGACTTTCAAGTCCATTACCTCATTTTACCTTTACAGGTACCCTGAAGTACATGTCAGGTGCTATTCCTTTTATTCAGATGAGAAAACTGAGCCTCGTTCAGATAGAGGCTAAAATCACATAATTTGTGATAAAGTAAGATTTGAACCCACATCTTGTGACTCCAAATATCATTTCAGATTTTACAGTTAATCAGAGCTATCTAAATTAAATTTTTGCAACTTTTTGTTAATATCACGTATTCATCCACTCAGTCAAAATTTTGTTGAGATGCTAGGGTAGGTTAAAAATTATAGTTATGGCCCTCAAGATATTTAATATCCAGTGAAAGTGACATTCAATAAAGCAACAATTTTAATACTGTGATATGTGTTGTAAGGTTGTTTAATTCTTTTATGTAACTCATAGCTCAGTGTGAAATTTATATATAATACCTCATTTCTTCCAATTTAGGGAAGGCATTAAATACAAATCATGGGACAAACTCATGCAATCAAACTCATGTAAAATACTCTTATTTCATGATAACAATAAGATTAAGAAATAATTCCATTGAGAAAGATGGATAATTTTCCAGTTCTTCACTGTATATTATTTTGTTGAATGCAGGGTATTAGGCAGCCATGTTTTACTTTATGTATCAAAATACTCCAAAACCAAATAAAAATTATGTTTGATTATCTGTGATTTTGCGTTATCTGTGTCAAAGCATAGAATGAAAAGTTGTCTCCTTGCTGTTTCACTGAGTGAAAAGTATTTATTCAGTAACTCAAAAACAGAATGTTGGTTGTTAAATAGTCATATCTTATTGCCTCTACAAGATCTCTCTCATTTTTAAGCATTTGTATATAGGTTTCTGGGACTTTCAGGGTGTAACTACAGTGATGACTTTTAATAAGTTTTGTTCTGTTTTCAATCTAAGCACTACTACTAACTGCACATAGAAAATATAAGTTGTCATTTTAGTAAGACGATAAATTAAGTTTGTAAATCAGGGTTCATGACATGATTGTTTAGAGGTGCTAATTAGCAAACTAAAATTTATCTAATTGTAATTTTAAATTCTGAAGAGTAGCATAGTGATTAAATATGCTATACTCCATTGCTTTATAAAGCAAAGGAAAAAATGGTCTTTCCACTAGGAGGTAGTATTTCTACAAGTAGCTCTGCTCTGTTTCTTGGTATAAAGTTGAACCAATCTTAATCTCTGTATTTATTTGTACAAAACACATATATAGCTCTTACTTTAGATGCAACTTATTATAGTTCAAGTAGGTAAAAACATTTAAGAATCCTCACCTACCTGGGTCTCACTTCTACAGAATCTCCAGTAACTGCTCTTCTGTAAATAGATTGGGGGATGGGAGGGATTCAAAGAAGCTTATTCTGTGTCACATGACAAAAACATACATGATACCCATGGATTCAGAAGCTGGAAATAAGAGGACAGTGACATATGAACTCATTTTATATCTCAAAGTAGGATTTGATATTTGTTTTCACTCAGTTGTCCTAAAGTTGTACTTCCGATGTATCCATCCTTTTATGTGAACTCTTAGTGCCACCAATCTTAGACATGTCTGTGTGTGTGCTAAATGGTAAACAAGAAGTATGTGCCACGTATGGTGCATAGCCTCTTTGCCCCAGCTACTGTAAAGTCACACAAAATACATTGGATGCAGTGGAATCATAGATTTCCCTCTATAAAAATTTTGTAAATCGGGCAGTAAAGAATGGAAGCATGGTCCTTATGCTCACTGTATGTGTTTGTGGGAGCTCTGGTCTGGAGCACGTCCATTTCCATTGTAGGCAGTGTTTTTAAACTTTACTTGTGATTTCAAAGATGAGGCAACTGCTGTAAGTAATGCATTGTTCCGTGTGAGGTCATTGCTTAATGAAGGAAAAAGAAATCTGCCAGTACTGCTTTTTCCGGATTAATGCATTTGGTTTGGACTCACAATGATCACATGTCAGTTGTGTGGAGACAAACTTCTCATACTCTCCGTAGACGCATTTTCTTCGTAGAGAAGGAAATGGTTACATCACGCTCCCTATGTCTGTGCCAATTGCCTGAGGTGAGCTATGTCCTTTCTGTATCTGGAGCAGGCTTTTTCTTTTATGTAGTTCTCAAAAGACTGGGGTGTCCAGTTACTGTATCTTATTAAACAATTAAAATTTCTAGCAGATTCAGTAGCTCAAAATACCACATTCCTTTCTAACAACAACAAAAAGGGTACTCTCATTCCATGAGAAACATCTGTAGAAAATAGACCTGTTCGTGGTGGCAATTGAGTTTTGAATTTTTATTTTCCTTTATTTTCTTCTTATTTATTTTTGCATCATACATTCCTACAGTTTACATCTTACCAGTGCTTCCCTATTATTTCACTTTCCTTAAGTACTTGTTTTAGCCTGAATCTAATCAAGCTCTAGAGCTAATTATCAATGTGTAAGAAATATGGGGGAGGGAGGATTAAGTTAAAGGATACCACAAATTTGGGGTGGTAAAAAAGTGATCCACTTTTTGAAACTGGTCAAGAATTTTAAAAAGGGTGGGAGATACAGCTGAAACCAATATGTCAACTATACTTCAATAAAATTTTTTTTAAATAAAAAAGTGGCTATATCATTTTACCAAAGAAAAGATAGGAGGGGGACTATTCTGGATTAAAATAAATTTATTAGACCTAACAGTCCTATGAAATGAGTGGGCCTAGTTTGGATTCCAATGAGAAGAAATAAACTATAGACCATATTTTTGAGACAATTGGGGAAAATTTGAATATGATCTAGGTATTAAATGATGCCAGGAATTATCATTAGTTTTTCTAGAGGTTAATGATATTGAAGTTCTGTAAAAAATATCTATGTTGATCTGTATTGAACTGTGTAGGAGTAAACTGATGTGTTACATGCCAGTTGCTACCAAATGTTTTAATAATAATGATAGTAATAAGGATATGATGCAAACATGGCAAAATCTTGAATTGTTAAACCCGAGCGATGGTTATCTGGGGGTTCATTGTACTGTTTACTTTCGTGAATGTTTGAAATTTAGCCATAATTTTTAAAAATTTAAACTTCTTGCACTGCTAGTAATATTTAAGGTCACATTTTTGTTTAGAAAAAGTATGTACACATTTCAATTTTCTTTATTAAAGCAGAAGATGAACATTGTCAACTCATTCTTTTATATGCATGGTGTGGGGAGTGGAGAGGAGAAAGCAAACATATCTGACTGTTGGATTCTTGTTTGAATGAAGAATATGAGAATTATATGCCATTTATATTAACACAGGAGGTCTGTAATTCACAAAATAGGAAACAATAAGGAGCCACACTTTTCTGCTAAATAACTGTCCTAAAATAATAAGCTTACTTTTACATTTTCTATTAAGTGGAATCTGGTTGGTATGATGATTCCTTTAATGAAAAACTACATGGAACTTCCATCCTCTGGCATAAGAATAGAATAGAATAAAAGTGTATGGCTTAATAGCAGTTTATAGTAAAAGTTAGTGTTTTTCAATGAGAATTAATGGGACTGCCAAAAAACCTCATGGGATCCCAGGTTGCCATATAGAAATACACTTCTAGAATGAGCAAAGCAATGTTTCTATTCTGTTCTAAATTGATTAGACCATACTTGGGGTATTGTAGTACATTTTGGGAAGTACCCCTTAAACAAGGTCAGAGAAAAGCAATACTAATGGTGAGGGGGCCCAAAGCCAGATTATGGGAGGGATGGGTCAAAGGAACTAGAAAGATTAGCTTGGAGAAAAGAAGTCTCAGTGGAATTTAAACAACACACCATAGATATTTGAAGTACAGAATGCTGACGGAATAGAAAAAAATAGAACAAATTAGTGGAAATTATAGGAAGACTGATTTTGGATTAGTATGAATGTTGAGAAAGGCTATCTGCCATGGGCCTTAAGTACTCCAGCAAGGCCCTGTTTGCTCTTTTTTTTCCAGGACATTTATCAGGGTTGTGTTTGCAGCAAGCAATCTTGAGGGATAGGTTAAGATACCATTTTGGAGAAAAGGCAGACTTGCTTACCACTTATTATAAAAGTGAATTCCCCAAGCTCAGTGTTCTTAACCTAGGACAAAAACCTACTGTGTGCATACAATACACCTGAGCCCCTCCTTGGTGCCCCCATGGGACTTGGAGGGAAGGGAACTAACTTAGATAAGATGTTTATCCTACTTGTTAACTATGAATAATGAAATCTTTTGTCTCTAACTCAGTCATCTCACATCTTCTGCCAATACTGGTGATAGACTAATTTATTAGCCCATAAGTAGGATTAGATTGATAAATCCCAGATCCAACAAAGGAGAAGCACATTAGTTCGTGGGTTCCCTACTGAGAGGTGTTCAAAAGTGAATGGATAAACCTCTATTTAGGATACTGCATAAACATAGCGAAAACCAAAGCCCCAGACTAGTTTTCCTTAGACATTCAATGTCATGCCAATTGCATAAATTTTATTTTTCTTTTTAGGAAAGACAGTATATAAATTTAGACTTGTCTGTAGAATACCAGAAGATTCTTACTGAGTTACTCCAAGAGAATATTGCTATGCCCCTCCAAGTTGAACCACTAGGAAATCCCTATATAAACATGGCCTCAATACGTATTTAAATGACCCAACTTCACCCATTGTCTCTGTGTATCCCTAATCTCATATTTTTTATTTGCCTTCAGATGAAGGGAGACTCAAAATTATTATGCCAAAGATGTAATTCATCTCTGATTTCACGTCAAAGCTTTTAGCACCCTGGGGAGTTAAGACTGGAATCTCGAATCTCTGCCTTGACAGCCCTCTTTCTGCCATATGACGAGTTAAGTATCTCTGACTTGTCCTATTGGAAATTCATGAACATAAGTTTTATTAGCGTTAATGAAACTTTAGTATCTAATGTGGTGTAAGCACACTCAATATTTTTCTTTCATTGCTGAAAGCCTTTCATAATATTTACCAGAATACTTTGGAAAATGTGTATTAAAATCTAGTCTGGCTTTCTGAATGAGTGGTGTGATTCAGGTTTGGATCACATATGATATCACTGAACGTAAAGTTTTAACACTAGCATCATGGTGATAACCTCTCACAGTCTTCCTTTGTCTTTTCCTTTGCATATGATTTGTGCATCATGTACATTCATCCACTGGGTGGCAATGTGTACTCAAGAATGTTTACTGTTTCTAGTTCCCTCAGTCTAACTGAAATTAAGGCATCAAATTTTTATTTGGAAAATTGTCATTGTATCAAATCTTAAGAAACAATATTGCCTGAATTCAAGCTCCTACCTACAGAGATTTTAATAATGTTGATACTTCCTACCATTTACTCTTAACCACATTCTTCTCCCAATATGTTCACAGGCCACACATTTGCAAAATAGATGATCTCTCGTGCTCTTCTCAATCCATGCCATTTTATAATTATTCCTTAAACACACACATGCCCCTTCTATATTCCCCTAAACTATTTTCTGACCCCAACACTCTTAGTTCCCCGCCTCTCATTTCTGTGGCTCTTGCCTGACAGTGAATTTTTCCCCTTTTCCATTTTGTTTCTTAAATACCACATCTCCTTCACAGTGAAATCAAGAGACACATCATTAAGCTCCTATATAACATAGTATACATGCTCTCTGGTTCTGTACTACATCCTAGATAAGGAGAGCAGATTCAGGAGATTCATTTAGTCTTGGGAAGTCCTGTAGTTCCCTTTCACTTGACTTAATTGTCCAAAATGCAGAATAATACTAATTAACTAGCTCTGTGTAAGATTTATCTTCAAGTTAAGAGGGGGAAAAACTTTCAAATTAAATTGTATATTAAGTGTGATTACAACATGAGAAAACCCACAAAACTTTATATATTTTTTAAAAATTGAAAATAAAATAGTAGTAATAGTAGTTGCATTAGATGGTGAGATTATGAAAACTTTTGTTTCCCTTTTCTGCTTTTCTGTATTTTTCTATATTTTCTATTTTTTCTATGTATTTTAATGAACTATACTTTTTTCAAAAGAAAAAATTATATCTAACTGTGCCTAAACCATATTTTATCTTTCTCTTTCCTGGATTGAAAACCTCCTTTTTCTTTCACATATCCTTGGCTGTCTAATTTTCCAAAAGGTACTTAATAATATTTTGATGTTTCCTTGAATCTCCACATGGTGCTGAGTGTGATGGGAGGTTTGGCTCGTGCTTTCTTTTTTTAAAAACAATCTTTATTTTAGCATAGTTTTAGCATTGTAAAATTGTAAAAACCCCACTTTTCCCTATTACTAACATCTTACATTAGTTTGGTACATTTGTTGCAATTAATGAACCAATATTGATACAATATTGTTAACTAAAGTTCATACCTTATTCAGATTTCCTTAGTTTTCGAGTCCTTTGTTCTGTTCCAGGATCCTATCCAGGACACCACATTACATTTAGCCATCATATCTCCTTAAGCTCCTCTTGGGTGTGACAGTTTCTCAAGCTTTCCTTATTTTTTCATGACCTCAGCAGCTTTGAGGAATACTCGTTAGGTATTTTGTAGAATGCCCCTCAACTGGGATTTCTCTGATGTGTTTCTATTGAATAGACTTGAATTATGGATATTGGGGAAGAAGACTGCAGAGGTGAAGTCATGTCAAGGGTAAGTACTAATCAGCATGACTTAGCACCATTGATCACCTTGCTGAGGTAGTGTTTGTCAGGTTTCTCCATGATAAAGTCACTCTTTCATTCCTCCTTTCCATGCTTTATACTCTTTGGTGGTGTGTACACAGCTATACTTAGTAGGGAATTATGTTCCACCTCTGTGAAGGGAGAGTATCTACATAAATAATTGGAAAATTTTCTGCACAGATTTATCTACTCTCCTCCCTTTATTATTTATTCAATAATTTATTTATATCCAAAGGAAACAAAAACACTAATTTGAAAACATACATGCACCCCAGTGTCCATAGCAGCACTATTCACAATAGCCAAGATATGGAAGCAACCCAAATGTCCATCCATGAATGGATAAAGGAGATGTGGTACATATATACAATGGAATACTTTATCCATGAATGGATAAAGGAGATGTGGTGCATATATACGATGGAATACTACTCAGCCATAAAAAGAATGAAATAATGTCATTAGCAGCAATATAGGTGGATTTAGATTATCATACTAAGTGAAGTAAGACAAAGACAAATATCATACGATATCAGTCATATGTGGAATCTAAAAAATAAAGTGAACGAATGAATATAACAAAAGAGACAGACTCACAGATAAAGAGAACAAACTAGTGGTTACTGGTGGGGAGAGGGAAGGGGGGAGGGGCAAGATAGGGGTAGGGGATTAAGAGGTACAAACTACTATGTGTAAAATAAATAAGCTACAGGATATATTGTACAACAGGGAATATAGTCAATATTTTATAATAACTTTAAATGGAGTATCATCTGTAAAAATTTTGAATCACTACGGTGTACCCTTGAAACTAAAATACTGTAAATCAACTAAATATTTCAATTAAAAACAATACAAAACAAAATTCAGTCATCCCCAATGAATCTTTCTGTACTTTTAGTACTGATATGTAGCTTCTCTTCTGGCCCTACTTAGAGATTCTACATACACCAACACTGAGACCCAGAGGTCTGGTGACTTTCTTAGGTCACCCCACAGTTAATAATACGGAACTGGATGCCTACTCACTTGACCTTCGACCTTCAGGTCAGAGCTCTTTTCACCAGAGCTTTGCCTCATTTAATAATTGATTTATACATTTAGCTCATTCATTTGTTCAACAAAAAATGCCTGAGTAACTGCTTCAAACCTGACACTGTGCTAGAATTTGCAGGTACCTACAAATTTGGAGAGTTTATACCACTTTAAATAGAATCTGAAATTGGGTATACTGCCACCAGGTGGCGTAAACCCTCAGACTGGCAAGGATATTTGTAAGTAATTTGTAGGTAACCATTCAGTTTTTCCTCTTAGACATTTTTTCAAATTCAGGTGGTGAGAACTTGTCTGAATGTGTAATCCAGGTTTATCATGTTCTGCGAAGGTGCAGCCGAACTTCCAGCCTCCCAGGCAGAAATCTTTGAGTTATTTTTGTTTCATTTCATGTTTTACTTATTGAGTCACTGCTTGTTCAAACTGGCTTCTTCATTTACCTATAACCCCTTCATAAATATCTCCAATTTAGAAGTGTCAGGGTAAAAACACCCTGGTCTGGTCTCAGCCTCCTGCAATTTCACTGCTGCTTCTGAGCTCCTGATGTTCTCTTTCCCTGAAATTCCTCCTTTAAACTCTTTCATCACTGACGCACCCATGTTCAGCAAACACTGGAGTAGTCATTATGGTGACTGGTAATATATGAAGTCCCAAACTACATACTCTCTCCACATACTGCTGTGTTCCTCCCTACTCTTCTGAGGGTAGAGGATATCTAGTTGGTAAAATGGGTGTATGAACAAATACATTGAAAGCATTTACCAGGCACAGTGGTGACAAAAGTATCAGCCTTGTAGAGATGGTCAAGAAAGAAATTGGCCCCTGGGTTAGGACTGAAGTTAACTCAAGCAGTGTAAATGGATACAGAGTTAAAGATGGTTTTACATAGTGAGATGAAGTGGCATGGTATTTCAAAGTCTGACAATTTTAGCATAGGTAGAAGGTACGATGTATGTAGGCAAATGCTTAAAGTTGGTATGAAAAAGAAAGGCAGGGATCAGATTATGAGGCCCTTTGAATGACACGCAAAAAAAGTTAGGACTTTATGCTTTAGACATTAAGAGTCATTTTAATATTTAGAAAGGGGGATGACACAAACATTTGCATTTTAGAAAGATCATCTGCAGCTGTATGTGGCATGGATTGGAGAGAGGTGAGACCAGATATAAGGTAACCAGTTAGGAAATGACCATAGAGCCTGGGTGGAGAAACTAAGGCCCGAACCAAGGAAGAAGCTGTCTGAAGGAGACGCAGGGATGAATCGGAGAGATTCAACAGAATTTGATGAGGAATCAAATATGAGAGTAAGAAGAGTGCTGGGTAACCACTGGTATCCTGATTTAGGTCACTGGGTGAGTGGTGATGTCATTAAGCAGGATAGAGGATACAGGAGGCTGAGCAGTTTTTAGGTGGTGGTGGTAATGAATGTCTCGAGTCTACTTCAGGACATATTATCTGATTATTTGCACTAATCAACTTCATACATTATTAACACCCAGGTTAGAAGGAAAAGTCTCCGTAAAGAAACATCTCCTACTACCACACATCAATCTAATCAATACGCAGTCAAAAATATTTTAGGAGTTAAGTGAATGGGTCTTGTGGAACACATATTCCAAACTTTCCAAGACAGGTTCACTTCCTACAGTATTATTCTTTTTAATAAACACAAGTCATTAAATATATAAATTTAAGATGATTTAATTTTTTATTTCTTGTAAGACTTTTCTCATAAGGAAGTTCATACATTATTAAAAGGTTTAAGGTATGAGTCCTGCTAGTTAGGAATCTGCAGACTAATCCAGACGAAGCACTCAACACCCAGTGAAGAGCCGCTTAGTGGTAAACTGTGTTGGTGTAAGGGCTCGTGGTGCATGCAGAAAGTGGCTGTCATTTTGGACAGAGAGGGCTGTGCTGAGAAGAGGCTGGAACTGCAGCAAAGCTCTGAAGAATGAACAGTATCTGAAAGTCAGACATTGAGTGAGGAGAGCAGCCTTAGGAAAGGAATCAAATTGGAAATAACCTCAACGTGTCCAAGGGAGATGGAGGACCATGGCCTATCTTGATTAGTCTTTCGACTCAGCCACAGAGAGAGGCTGCTAGGTGGTGTGACTCATATTTCTGCCTTCCTATATCCAGCTCCTCTTCACTTTGTGATCATTTTTCTAAGGTATAATGAAAATTTCTAGTTGTGTGGTTTCCAAGGTTTTTTTTTTCATTCCCTTCCTGACTTTTTCCCATTTCCATCTCATTCTGAATTTTAGCTTTTCTTTTTAAAATTTTTTTAATTTTTATTTATTATTTTTTAACATCTTTACTGGAGTATAATTGCTTTACAATGGTGTGCTAGTTTCTGCTGTATAACAAAGTGAATCAACTATACATATACATATATCCCCATATCTCCTCCCTCTTGTGTCTCCCTCCCACCTTTGTCATCCCACCCCTCTAGGTGGTCACAAAGCACCGAGCTGATCTCCCTGTGCTGTGTGGCTGCTTCCCACTAGCTATTTTACATTTGGCAGTGTATATATGTCCATGCCACTCTCTCACTTCATCCCAGCTTTTCTGACCTTAGTCCTAAAAGCTTTTGCTAAGTTTTAGGATTCCCTAGTCACCTTACTTTCTATTTTGGGTAAGATTCCCATTTTCCTGTGAGGTATACATGCAGTCTTTTGAGATATTGAGATATTCTTCTAGCATATTTTCAAGAACTGTGGATAGATAAACGCATGGTACTGAAAAATCCATAATGTAAGGTGGATATATAATCGTGCCTCCTGCATAGTAGCCATCTGATAAATCTTTATAAATGAATGAATTTTATGTAATAACCTATTAAAAAAAGAATACATCTTTTCTATTACACATTTTTCACAAGGACTTTTTACCACCAGAGCAAGAAGTACAGTAGAGGCTCCAGGGATAAGTGGCGAGGTCACATTTCTTCTGAGATAATTCCTTTGGCTTCTCCTTTAAGTCAAGTCAAGCTCTGACTCCTGATGCTCTGAGGTGAGGTGAGGGTCAGGGACCTTGTGTGTCAACCCCCTTCTCTCCAGGGGGCCTTAGCTCAGGGATCTGTAAGAAGTGTATCAAAACATTAGTCCAAGTGTCTGACTCCACTTCAGCTATTTGTGTTTGAAATTTTGTATTTGAAAACAGTTTGCTCTTTAAAGTTGGTGAACATTCCTTTTATAATTTGTTTACACTGTTTGTTGGACAAGCTACTAATATTACTGATAGAGCAAAATTAAAATTAAACTAGCCTCACTCTGATGGTTGATTATAAATCCCAAATTAGCAAAGTCCAATTAATGAGGTTTTATTATCTACGTATATATGTGTATTATACAGCGTTACATGTATATGAATTAAGAATGATAGCAATTTAGAAATAGAGGGACACAGAGAAATGAATTCTATTTAAAGCCTACATTTTTGCAGATGAAGAGATTTGCAACTGGTAAATTGTTCTTCTTTTACCCAAGAGACTAGTTCTATATTTAAACACAATCCAGAAATAGCCTCCTTTACAGACATAACTTGCTATGACTCCACGGCTCCACTGAGCACATACATATTATGTAATGCTCTTACTTCTATTAGCTGTGTCTTATCATCTCCCATAAGTCTCCAGCCACTTTGAAGATAGAGATTTTATTTGTCTTTGCACAATCCCCACAATACCTGTCCCAGCCCATCCCCATGCCTTATACTGGATTGAGCATCAGTCAAACCAGTAGGCAGCCATGATCCTGCACTGATATCAAGGAATCAACCATTAAGGTGATAGATCTCTCGTGAGCTTTGCAAATTTTCTTCTGCTCCAGTACATCTGACAATTTCCCCAGATAACCTTGTTTGCTATTTGGAGTCCTGTGGTCTCTACTCTTCTCCTGATAGTAGGAAGCTGTGCCCTTATGCTAAGGCTCTCCCATCCCATTGTTTCCCTACTCTAATACCAACAACTGCAGTGGGCTGCACTGGGTTTGCCATTCTCTGGTTTGGATGCAATTCAGAATTGCCGCCACTCCCCAGCCCCCCTTTTGTGGTGCCCCTTGGCTCAACCTCCTCCATCCCGGCATACTGGGTGGTAAGTAATGCAGGCAGCATGTGTAATCCCACCCTGAGATCTAAAGCTGTTGCTTGCCTGGTACTGTTACATAAAATAAATGGATATTGAATAATTCAAAAGAGTGAATTTGGATTCACTCAACAAATATTTATTGAGTACCTAATATATACCATACCAGACTTTTTCCTGGGTGCTGGAGATGCAGCAGGTAACAAGATCAAATTTCTGCCCTCATGAAGGGCATTCTAGTCAAGAGGGATACAATAAACAAATAAATTAATAGATCTATAATATAAAGTCACTGCTAAAGAGTAAGTGCTGTGAAAAAACAAGAAGCAGGGAAAGGGAATAGGAAATGACATCACTAATCAACATCACTAATCATCAGGGAAATACGAATCAAAACCTCAATGAGCTATCACCTCACACTGTCAAAATGGCTATTATCAAAAAGACAAGAAATAACAGGTGTTGGCGAGGATGTGGAAAAAAGGGAACCCCTGTGTATTGTTGGTGAGATTGTAAATTGGTGCAGGCACTATGGAAAACAGTGTGGAGGTTTCTCAAAAAATTAAAAATAAAAAAAAAAAGAGGCATTGCTGCTGAATGGGAAGTCATTATTATTGTGACAAATGTTTCTGAGAGGTCATAGTTCATTTATTGAGTGTCTTTCATTTGCTGGGTATTTGTTGGGCATTTAAGATTTAGAGAGGGATAAGACACAGTCCCTGCCCTCAAGAAGCTCCAGGACAGAACTGTGAACCAATCAAAATGTCATGGAACGAATGCAACAGAAGCATTTACCATCCTCCAAGCTTGCTTTGTTGTGCCCATACATTAGAAACCAAGACTCAGGATTAAATGATTTGTTCAGTATGATACCACAGACAAAACTGAAATCCAACACGGGGATAGGGAGTTAAAACCTAAACCCTTCCTGTCATTCTATACAACCTTTCTCAGAAAGTGAATGCAGAGGTGATCCAGTCCAATACCTCACTGGAGGCTGGAATCCTTGTAACCTTAAGTAGCAAAAAGCTAGCATCTTGGTGAATTGGGCCCCACGATAATGGATGTAAAATGGATTACATATGCTTTGTCCTGCTTTATAATTCTACTCTTTTTACCCATTGACTTAGATTGCCCATCAAAATAACATTTATAATATTAAATAGTGAGTTAGATTTGCATACGTATCCTGGGCTAGTAGGAATCTGAGATGTCCGCTGGATGATACTTTGGTCAGTTTTTAAAATATCTGAGTCACAGTCCATAGCCTTTTAGTGGATTGAATTTTTGTTGATATAAACTATTTTGATGATAAAGGCAAAACCGAATGGATCATCAGGTCGTCCATTCCTGAGAAGTTAAAAGGATTGTGGACAGTAATATGGTATCCCGAGGGCTGGAGTGTATGTATAATTACAACTTTCAGCTCTGTTAGCCACTATGAAGCTATTACTATAATCTTCTATATCAGCATTTACTAAGTGTGTCATAACAGTTCCAATATGAAATGGCTCTTCATATTTGTTCAGAAAAAATATCTGTGAGCTAATTTTTGCAGAACATTTACCATAACTCTGTTAAGAAAAATTATAGGTACCCTACTAATTGTTCCCATGTTAAGAAAGAGAAACTAAACTAGAGCAGGAAATAAAAAATATGCGCTTCACTTGGGTACAGTAATAAGTCATTCGAAGAGTCCAAGATAGGACAGGATTCTAGTGGCTACTAGTGTGGATTAATAGAGTTTTAGATTTTGAAACAAAACTTTTGGGGAATGTGAAGGGCACAAAAACAAACCCACCCACTAAGGCTTAATTTTCTGTAGCCTAACAGAGAGAAATTTAATGAGTACATTTAATGCTCAGGCAAGAACTGGGATAATTATGAAAACTAGAAAGGATTAGAAAGCTTGGTGAATCAGAACAATGTTTCTGTGCCATCATTTTACACTGGAGGATGTTTGCGTTTTGTTCATTTCTTGTAGTGAGTTTCACATTGGCTACTTGAGGTCTGGTATTTGGGTTTACTTCAGTTCCAGTTAGCATCATACTGAACGCCAATGTTTTGTTACTTCAGTGTTCCCTCCTTTCACGATTCCCAAGTTTGTCAGCACTAGAGGAAGACCTTCCATGGAAGCTTAGTATTGAAAGTCTGTCTCAGTATTGAGAGTTTCTTACACCAACAGAGACCCTGCAGCAAAGCTGCAGATGTTGCTTTCCCACCTTGATGGTGGAGCATCGGAGCTGAGTTGGGCCTATTCTTCAGGTAGCCTTCACTGCTGAATCTGCTAGAAAACACTTTCAATAGACCTCTGGTGGAATCTGGAAAATAATGACAAGAAAAAAAAGCCCCTCAACTGCAGGTCTAGATACTCAGAAAATGTTTTATTTACAGTGGGCAAATATCCTTAGAGAGTTTTAGGAGCTATTCCCACATGTGTGTTTGATATAGAAACAGGATCTCAGTTATTTCTATCTCTGGAGGGGATATTTGTTTATACAACAGAAGGGTGAGGTTTTAGAATGTTTTGTCTATGAACCTATGTGAGCAGGCCCCTAGTATAAGGAATTAGGTCTATTAGGATCTATCCATTATTACTATCTAGCTATTAGGGTCTATTAGGAATTGATACATTTTCTTTTTATTATTTTTCTTTTTTGTCTTATTTTTAAAAAGACAAGTGGATGGAAAAATGTATTGGCCCTCTTCCTTTGGATCAGAAGGTAAACATTCTCGCATTATGGAATAAATTATTTGGAAAAGGGTAAATTGAAGAGTTAGAACAATTTGAGATGGGAACACACAGCCTATTTCTCTGCCAATAATGGACATTACCTCATGACTATGTTTGAAATTTTCCTCAGCCTGCTTGTAAGGGCTGGAATTGATCAATTCAAGCATTTCCTTGACACCAACTTGATTTTTCTCCATCTGAATTTCACACAATTTTCTTCTAGCTAGAAGGTAATTTGTTTGGCTCATTATAAAAAATGTTGAACTGGCAAAAGTTTCCAAGACTATGTCTATTTTTTTCTTTCTTTTGGTAAAACCAAACTGCTTCAATAGTCAATTGCCTAGTTAAATGATTAAATTCTTAACTATTCCCATGGCTTGCAGGATTATGGTTGTAAAAAACATTAAGTCCTACAGAAAACTTATGTAACTTGTACTAACATCTTTTGGAAATGAGATCCTTTCTTCTTTAAAAATTCTGCCATTTTTCTCTTCCATAGAGATTGAATTACTTGTTTACCCTTTTTGTTTAAAGGCAGACTATTAGATTTCTCTCAATTATTACATCCTTTATTATAAGTATGACTCAGCTGAACATTATTGTGACCTGTTTTTTAAAAATATCTTTCCTCCCTTTATTTTGGGGAATTGAATTGGTGTGCTAGTGCTTTTCTTTCCCGTGAAGGAGACTTATTGTTCTTGTGGTGAAGGCTTCTAGTTTACTTGGACATCTTTAGATATAATTTGATTATTTTATAGTGGTTGGACTTTTCTTTCCTTTGGACCAACACCTATTCTGTACCTTTCCCTTTTTGTACTTTTTTCTACTCATTATTCAGATGGTCTTTCTCTTCTAGTATCATATTATTTTAATGATTGTAGCTTTCTAATGTATATTTTTAAACATCTTTATTGGAGTATAATTGCTTTACAATGTTGTGTTAGTTTCTGCTGTATGACAAAGTGAATCAGCTGCATTTACACATATGTTCCCATATCCCCTCCCTCTTGTGCCTCCCTCCAAACCTCCCTATGCCACCCCTCTAGGTGGTCACAAAGCACCGACCTGATCTCCCTGTGCTATGCGGCTACTCCCCACTAGCTACCTATTTTACGTTTGGTAGTGTATATATGTCCATGCCACTCTCACACTTTGTCACAGCTTACCCTTCCCCCTCCCCATATCCTCAAGTCC